GGGGCAAGGAAAGGAGGAAACGCGAGTCCCACACCTTGCGCAACGACTCGAGGGGCCCACAAGGCGCGAGGGGCCCACAGCCCGACACGCGGAAGTCGGTCTCCGTCTCGCGTTTCCCTGTCGGCTCCGCGTCGCGGTGGAAAAAAATTCAAGCCGCAGGAAAACCGCAAGGATCGCTCGAACTCACTTTCCGTCTGCAACCTCCGCTAGACGCACCCGGATTTCGCACTTTTCCGCATACGCAACGCTCTCCAAGCCCTCGTTCGTGTCGACCGCCCGAAACAGTGCGGAAGCGGTGGGCGAGATCGGCGCATTCCGATGCGTGCCCCTTCCGCACCCACGAATGGGGCAGAACGACGCGGACATCCGAGGGATGCGATTTCGACATCCAAATGCATTCTGGGGGAACTCGATGCACCGAGACCCCAATGAATTTCTAGTGCCACTTCATGCACCTGTAGCCACGCAGCAAACATCTTCGGTGCTTCACGATATGCTCCGAATACAGATGCAAGAAGCATTTGTAAGAAATAAATCACGATCCACAACATATATAAAATTTATTAATAATCTTCCTTGGAAATCATCTCTTCATGGAACTGGAATGTAAGCGTCTGCTCTGTACAACAGGTGAGAAAACATCGAGGCGATGTGGGATAAGCAGAGGGCCAAGAGAAAAAAATACGGCAGAATGAATAGAAAAAGCTCGAGGCAGTTCAGCATTCTCGAGTAATAGGAATCAACTCTAGCAAAATGAAAAATTGTAGAAAAAAGAATGAGAACCGAAGAGAGCAAAACAATTTTTTTTGGACCATATCAAAATCGAAAGCACTATCGAATCAATCTCTCATACACTATATTTCAATTTGACCAAGATCTCTATCTGAGCAATTGATGTGGAGATTTGGCACCTTCATATATAGCTTACTGCGAAGATGTGCCTGCCTGCACAGGTCACAGGGATAACTAAAACATCATCCACATCACCTTCCATCTTCGGGTGGGGCTGGAGGGAATTCCCCGCATCTTCGTCGTCCGGCCCCGAGGGATTTCTACGAGGGTACCGTGGAGTGTGCGAGGTGCGGCGTTTTCATCATCCCAAGTGTGGCAATACGAAAGTAACGCTGTTCCCTGAAATATTCCACCCGACAGGAATCGGGCCGAGTCATAGAGCAGCCCCTGGCATCATACCCACAATGCATTGTGCACGATAAAAAATGCGAGAAACGAGTGCAAGTACTGCATCAACAGCCCTAATGACATACACCAGCTCCACTTCCCATAATTCTCTCACATACAGCCACACTCCTATCTGTGCGAAAACCATCCATTCAAACTAAAGAATCCTCTTCTAGTCCTTTGGAATGTGGACAAGATCACAAACAGAGGAAAGAACGACAGACGAGCGGCTGGCGCGAGTCAAATGCAGTCCGAGTGCATCTCGTAATATGGCTTGCACTTCGGATGAAATGATACCACTGAAAGACTATTCTTGCCTCTTGGAAGTGTACAGACATGAGCATGGGAATCATCAAAGCTGCAACTAGCTTCCCCGCCTTAACATTTCAGTACGTAAGGCAACAGATGCAATTAACATATTCCAGAACGCTTGACTAGGACATGAAGTGATAGGAGGAAGATAAACAGTCATGAACAGCCAAGAGAGACTTTGAGAAAGACCTACAGCAATGAAATCGACAATCCAGTACAAACCTTTGGTAAAGCAGGAATAATAATGCAGCTTAGATAGATGAAGACCTCTTTTCCTCGCTTGTGCCTATTCTCATTTTTAAAGAGATAAAATGTTAACCAACTACAGCTGGATGTTTCTTGCTAATTACTATAAGAATTGCTACTTAGTGCATAAACCTTTCCTTTGAAAAGTCATAAAGGGAAAGCATATACAGGAACCAAATGAGGAAAAAGGGAAGATGAGCTGATGTACCTCTCTATCTCCTTCAGAGATAGAGGTACATCAACAATATCATGGCCACATTTGACACATGCATTTCTCAGCAGTTTGCACTTCATAGGGCAAGACAAAATTTGGCAGAGAGAGCATAAGATAGGGGGGGAGAAAGCGAGAGGCAGTCCAGTTTGCAGATGACTTGATGGATCAGAAAAATGGCTCAAAAACTGAAATTTGGTGACACACAGGGACATAGGATGTATGCAGAGAGTGGTCATGATGTGTTGCATTATCAACTATAGCATGCTGCCACTCTGTGCTCTATGCCTCTGACCTAGAACAATCAGTTAATGAAACGCCCAGAGCTATGGAATGCCTCAGAGAGGCAAGTAAGAGGCTTGAAAAGATTGCACTGTGAGCAACCAGTGGAGAGTAATTCATCGAGTTAGTGAGACTTCCAACATTACTGTTAATGCAATATATCTAAAAAGCTATTGTGCTCATCAGGCTATCAATCATGGCAAGACCATCGCTTTTGAGTAGAAGATAACTGCATGATGTTCTTAATACAAAATCTCAACTAAAGTTGACACCATATTCAAGTGGTGGGCAAAGAACCACATGCAAGTCATCTTCCTCGTCAGTAACTCTCGACGTCCTTTGAAATTTGACAAGGGGTGCTCTCCTGAGAACAGAATATTCCGTGTCTGGGGGTGATGAAGCGATGATGGGATCACACGTTGACGACATCATCAGAGAAGAACTCCTGATGGGACATAGGAGTCGGAGGATTGGAAGCCGAAGACAGGCGAGACAGGATGTGAGTTCTGGGGTTATTGCTACGACTCTCCCCTTCCTTGCTGTTGGATGAAGTATGGGAGCCCTCTAGATCTTCCTCGTCAACTGAGGTCTCCTTCAGTTCCTGAAAAGGGAACATTTACAAGAATTCATTAGTTGTTCTGCATTATCTTCAAACAAATGGTTTGAATTAGCATGGGATGATCATTAGATCAGTAGAGCATGGATTTGCACAGGGAAGGAAATCAGGCAGATATTCACAGTCATTTTTTAAGGCTTTTCATTCCCAGGTGGAAAAGAGCTTGTGTGCAGAAAATGATATTTAATATCCAGCTCAGAGACACTTGGTGCCAATTCATGACCAAATTGCAGGAATCAATACCTGGTCTGTAAATATTTGCTTTCCTGTTGTTGCACAGTTGAAATCTTGAGAGTTATATACCTGTTACAAAGGAGAATTTTCCTGATTGACTCCCACCCAACTTCCATTCATGGCAAAGGCCTTACAAATGGACATTTAACTGATGTAACATTAAACAACATGTAACAAAACATGTGTAACATTAATTCTAGTCAATACTAATGTTTGTCTTCCTGAATCCATCTTCTGATGATGTTAAAAAAAACACAACACGTCACTTTACACGTACATGTTATTGCTGGATGTCTCCCAAAACATATTTAGCCATATTTGCTTCCAGTAACCTCATGTCTCCATTATCTTGAACTTGGTTCACTTAAGGGGGTGAGGAAACACAAAGTGATCATGAACCATTATGTGTAGTTGATCAGAACTTATGATGACACAGGTGACTGAGAAACCTCAGTACCATCTGATTTCATTCCCCATAGGAATCTTGAGTCAATTGATTCAAGCATCCTCTCCCTACTTTTTGAAAAACTGGAAAAAATAGCTTTCTTTGAGCATAATATTCACATCCAGTAAGTCTACCATCGGTCCACATCTAGAAGTGATATTTTGGAATGCATCTCACAATTTCTTAGAGTCCAGATGCACATGATGTGAAAGCAATAAACTCTCATGCTCAGGGCAAACATTTGTTTGCATAAGTAATAGAATAATCTCTAGCCTATGTTTAAGAATGTAATGCTCATGAAGCAAAAGTGAAGATAACAGGAAGGAACATAGAAGATAATGGCAACCAAGGACATGAATCACCTCAAACTCAACGCTAGACAGACGTCGCGGAGCAGGGACAGGTAAGCGGGTAGGGCTAGTTGCCGAAGAAGGCCCAGACTCACTTGGGGGACTACTGGTTCCTGTTCCCCAAAAATAAAACATAAGGAATAGGACAATTTAGGAACAAGAACATAATGGGTAGTGAGGATAGTATGAATAATATTAAGGAGTAAGGAGACAACATGGACATTAATTTTTCACATTTTCTCTATAGTTTTGAGCATCACCAGCTATTCTGAAAAAATTGGGTTTAGGCAGTGAATATAATCATGAAGATTTATCCTATGTAACATCCATCATAGATATGTTCCCAAAGGCCTGAGTGAATCAACTGCAATGCTAGCATAGATGGGTTGGTGGATGCTTCCCATGGGAGAATTCGACATGTCAGCATAACTTATCTATGGTGACCAGAGCTGTCCAATCCAGGCATACCAATGGAAGTGTCAGATGATAGATTAACACTTTGGGTATCATGTCAGTCCAAATGACTGACAGATAAATTTTACATTTCTGCATGAGTTCATATGACCAACACTGGGACATTTTTCCAAGCACAACACACTTTGGACCTAGAGAATTGAATTAACAGAAAAATAAATACTGGTAAACAAATGTGTCAAAGAGAAGATTTTGCTAAGAAATTACTAACCTGAATCAGGGGTTGGGGAAGACCTTAAGAAAGATTGATCCAGATAAGCCAGTTTCTTCTCAGGAAAGGAATCCCGGGAGCCTACATGACCCGAGTCTATGGAATCTTGTAGGGCATCTCCAGACTCTGGTGTATTGGCAGTGGAAGTATTGGAGCTGGATGCATCACTCAAGTCTCCTTTAAAAGAGAAAAAATGCTGAGTGATGATGAGAACTTGGGAAGTATTAAGACTGAAGATAACTAATTTGACTCACCAGATCGTGTAGAATCAAGACCAGCCATGGATTTTGGTCTTGGTTTGGGGGCAACAGGTGGAGGTCGAGGCCGGCCTGAGGAAATCTGATTGGATCCTTTGCCCAAGGGAACTATATATGACAACAAAACTTCTTTTAACCCTTTGACTATCAAATATTATTAAGGCACTAATTTGAAGCGCTTTAGGATAGCCGTCATGAGAGCTCACAGTAGTAAAACAGTTAAGGTAGTTCTCTATTTTTGGATGACATGATGCATTTTTGTTTCAACCTCAGGGAATCTGTTTGCCACACTTTTTCTTGCTTCAAAAACTTTATTTTAGATGTATACATTTGCAATTGCATGGAATGTTCCTATATAATCAGATAAAAATTTTACACTGAAACTAGTTGCTTGTACATAGTCCACAGGAGAAGGTGAAATTTGAAGATGCAAGATTGGTCCCTTGTAATAGGAACATGGCTATTGAATAAGAATTGCAGTGCACTTCTCCTTTAAAGAAAGGAGATATGAAAGGAATAAATATGGAAAGGAAGAGAGCTGGAAAGTCTATAATATTTTCATGACTTACCTGGTTCAGGAGTTTTGCTAATGGGTCTTGAGGGGACATCTGGGCTTGGTGAGGCATCATGTATGGTTTCACCTAGGCCCGTCTTTGGGTATCCATTTGTGGGAGACTTGAGAGAATCCGCAAGTCCTGTTGGTCGCAACCGAAAGCTTGGCCCAGGACCAGACGTATTATCATGTCCCTGAGCCTCTTCTGGTATCACCTTCAAAGGAACAAATTTGTCAATACACCTGTTGGGAAGTTCCTTTCATATGGGAAGAGAATGTAATTCATTGTAAGGCATCAATGAAATGCAATGAATACTTGGTTTTTTGTAACAATTCAGAAAATTATTGAATTTGAAGTTTATATGAAAAAGCCTGCATATGAAAAACTATAATTGAAGAGTAACTATATATATTGACAGTTTTTACCTTTGAAGTCTTATTTTGACAATTGTGAACTTATTGCCTCATATTCAGGTTCTTTTCTTTTTCAGTTTTCCTTTCTTGGCTCATCACACAGGCATTTTTATAACATTTTTATATTCATATTGGTCTGCTCAGCCTTATGCCTTATTTTTTTAAAGTGTTCAGCAGCTGAGACCAATCATGGGGATGGAAGGATTGGAATCATGGGATGTAGCACTGAGAAATATATTTCTACTTAGCAGGCTCCCAGATCCTAGTTTTACATGCAGTTTTAATTTATATGACTGTGTGGATCTGATCAAATTTGGAGGGTAGAAAATAATGCCATCCTCTAAATGAGAATTTCATTTTCAGGCAGAGGAAATGAAGTGAAATTTCAACTTTGCACATACCTGTCGAGAAGCCATTTTCTCTTGCCTTGCCTTCATCTCAGCCATGATATTCCCTCCCATGCTGATGCCCATCCTGTGAGGTGCATTTTGCTTCCTCATCTTCACGTCACCACTTTCAGACCAATCAGGTGAAGATGATGCATTATTCCTACCACCTAGGGACATAAAAATGTTACCAATGTACAGCAGAACTTTGTCAATTTTTCCCCCTCCCAAAAATTCTCAATATGTAAATCATACTCACGGTCACTCTCAGGATTCACTTCAATTTTTTCCTTCTCCTTCTCCTCCTTCTCTTTTTCTTTCTCTCTCTCCTTCTTTGGTACATTAGGAGAAGTGTCATTCTTGGATACAACAGGAGCCTTTGATCTATGAACCATGTCTGCTGCCTTGCTGAAAACACTGGATATCCCTCGAACCATGGAAGACCCACTAGAAAGGAATAAAAGATAATAATGGTGATGTCAAGATTGAATTCTAGATGTTCCCATTTGTCACCATAAATAGCTAGGCACAATCAAAAAGAAAAGTTTGATTCTCTAAAGTGATGGCAAGAATGCTTCCATTTGTTTGCATTTCTTCTAGCTGTATGCATGACTTGGAGCAAGAAAATGCATCTCACCAATAGTCAAGGGTCCTATGAAATGCATTATGACTCTTTTTCTGGCATGAAAGTAATTTCCTAGAAGTAGGTTAGATAGAAATTTAATATATATAATTTAAAAATAATTCTGAGCACTAGCCTGTCTTTCCACCCTCACCCCCCTTTTTTCGCCATGAGCATTGCATGTTTATACATCTTTCCCATCCCCCTCCCACCCTGCCCTAGCTTCCCACAAAGTTGATCAAAAGTGTCCAGAAAATTTTAAATTCTGTATTCATTATACCTCAGAATGTAGAAGAAAGAGAGGTAACACTCCAATGAGATACCATTCATTGGAGGAATCTCAAGATAGATTGCCCATCTATTTGATCCATTGTAACAATTACTCAATGACATTGACCCTCACCTGTTCTGTGGAAATAATTCTCAAGTAGATGCCACACATCAACTCAGGCTACTGCTAAGGTACATCAGTCTAACTTATAGTGATTCTTCAGAGTTATGCTTAAATGTCCTGCCAATTCAATGCATGTGCACACAATAGCAATGGTGGTCGAATTGCAAATTATTGGAAGCAACTAGCAAAGACAAGTTGGATGTGGCAAGTGCATATCATCAGGTATCCATTCAGGAAGTAAAGATATACATTCGTCCCTCGCCACTTCGCGCTTCGACTTTCGCGGCTTCACTCTATCGCGGTTTTTTCAAATACCTGTATATTGGGTAATACGAGTGTAATGGTGACTAAAGAGTGTTATTTCATGTCTATTAGGTCCCTCTATATATTGGGTAATACGAGTGTAATGGTGACTAAAGAGTGTTATTTCATGTCTATTAGGGCCCTCTAGACATGAAATAACACTCTTTAGTCACCATTACTCTCGTATTACCCAATATACAAGTATTTGAAAAAACCGCGATAGAGTGAAGCCGCGAAAGACGAAGCGCGAAGTGGCGAGGGACGACTGTAATGGGATTCCTTGCATGTGATTGACATTTTGGATCTGTCATTAGCAGGGATGTGTTACTGTAATTACTGGTCAATTAAAAACGCTGGTCATATATGGTCAATAAGGCCTACTCTGATGTGGTTCATTCTTCCACTGTTTTGTGCTGCAATTGGATGTCATGACTCAACCTATATTCTTCTTTGAGATAGAAGAATGCAAGTTGCACATGTTGGAATAAGCCACATCAATCAATAATATCTGAAGTTAAATAGGACTTTTAGACAGTTTCATAAGCACCATGGTAAGTGAGGAATTCTGGGGTTCATTTCAAAGCCGCAGTTCAGTTGCAGTTGAACTATAGTCCTAAGATGGTCCCAGTTTGGTTGCAGTTGCAGTCAATTGGAACTACGACTGGACTTTGAACAGACTGAGAATTTTGAAATCATTTTCCAGTTCCTGTTTGACTGTAGTTGGACTATGGTAAGACTGCAGATGCCACTCACTTCAGTTTCTTTTCTGTTCAATTGCAGCCAGTTGTAGTCCGACTTCTCATTGACCTGTTCTTAACTTCCTTGTACATTATTGATATATACGAATTGAAATGGTTCGATGCCAGCCACAGATCAGTGTCATATTTACAATTCAGTTCATCATTGGGCATGTGTTCCGCTCCATATGTTGCCACTTTAGGACTTAATTGCATGCGGGGCGCTTCATAGCCATGGTTTGCGAATGGCAAATGCATGCAATGGCCTCGTTCCACTGTGACATGACAAGGAAAATCAAGCAGCACCAACTTCAACTCAGAGGAAAAGGAAATCAAGACATATATTTATCATCTTGTCCTTCCCATCAAGACAGTTGCCTCAGGGTAGGTCTGACTCGAGTTCTCCAGGTGCCACGAGGGAAGAGAGGCTTCAGACATAGTAATTGGTTGGAACCACAGTCACACTCTGGCCAGACTAAAGCCCAACTATGATTGGACGGGCAGTCAACACAGACTCTCGCAACTGCAGTCTGATTAGGGTTCAAATGGCACGTTTAGACTATTCTCGAACGAAAAACCCAACTGTAACTGTAACAGAACTGGAACTGCAACTAAACTGCCCTTTTGAAATCAACCTGGGTGTAGCATTGAAAGTAGGAGCTTTTCTATTTCAGGTAAGGGCATTTACCTGCCTAGACAATGCCATTCATGTTTATGCCTTCAGTAAGTTTTTGAACACACTGAAATTGGCAAGAAATTTCCAAGTAGTGTGACATTTCTACATTATGAAAATGTTTACCTTTTCTCTTTCTTTTGAGGCTGCTTGTCAGACCCTCGTCGCAACAAACTGCAATCACTGCAGCTACTCTCTGTATCAGATTTGCGATCTTTCCCACTTTTCTCATCTACTTTCAGCACATGAGTGGGACTGTTTTCAGTTGAGTTTGATGTAGATTTCACCAAGCGTGGACTGTACAATTGAGAAAAATAAACAGATTCATGTCAGACTCTAGGATACTGGTACCAGTCATCGTTGACATGGAGTATTTCAATGGATCATGCCTGTTATCAAAGGTAGGAGATCCCACAGGTGAAGCAGGAGCAGAACCAGCAGTAGGATGAAAGAATTCATCAAGTCCTTCTTGAAGATTGTGTTCCTGGTCATCATCTGTGTATATAGAGCCAGTGAGAAAGGTGCGTGTGGGAGCTCTTGTTTTTGCTCTTTTGGGCCGGGCTTTCCCCAGATGTTGGAGCTGACCACTGGCTGATGGCAGTTCAGTCACTGTATCAAGTGATTCTGCACAGAAGCAAAAGTTTCAATCAAGAAGTGTTGGCTTGTCAGATGTATTTTTTATTTTTTTTTTGGCAACAAGGAATTGTGCTACTAGCCTATTGCATCATAGAGGAGTAAAGGAATTCAAAGAAATAAATCCTGAAAAAAAAAGAAAATACACAAAGTGCATAACTTAAATAATTCCTACCATCTGACTCCTCTGGTGTGACAGGAGGCAGCAGGCGAGGTAACTCTTCTCCTGAAATTCCTTCTACAACATCTGTAATGAAGTGTACACAAAACAAAAGTAAAAAATAAAATAAAAAATGAACTAAATGAAATAAGGCAAAAACATAAAAGGAGAGACAGGAAATATGTGGCACACTGATCCTTGGAAGCATCACTAATTTGTTAAATATTACATTTAAAATGTTCTATAGCTGGATGAAACCCACCCGAGATAAAACAATCAAAACATTAAGAACTGATATGCTGATGAACTAAATGTATTCATTGTTCAAGCTAAAAAGGGAATCTCTGCTGCCTTGCCACTTATTCTGGAATTTTCGTGGATTATATTTTGAAAAGGCTCAAAAACATCAATCGAGACATAAAAATCTGAATATTAATAGTTCATACTTAAAAATTGAACAAGAACATCTATGTTTCGTCCTTAAGTGCACTGTTTCTGGGAGAGCCAAAATGGTTAAATTTCAAGTCAGTTCAACAATGAGTCTTCACATCATGCACAGCACAAGGATTACAATATTATTAACTTATGACAGGACTGCAAACATGACATTGCATGTTAACTATGCCTAATGAGTAAAATGCAATTAAATTGAAAGATAGCAAAGGTACTGACCAACAACACTCTGTGGCCTAAGCTTCCTGCCATGAAGGCTCTTCCTCTTGGCTGACAATTGAGGTGTAGCCTGTAAGAGGAAATTCTGATGAGATAGACAATACATTGCATGGAAGACTAATGGTGATAAAATCATCACAGTCTAGCAGGGAGGTGCTAGGGTAGCCAATATCTGACAGTTAAAAAAGAAAATATTGAACCAAACTAATAACAGAAGTAACAAAATCAAAGAACTAAGAGGTCATTCCTCCATATGAAACTCACCCCAGGAGAAGAGCCATCAGATTTCTGGCTTTGCTCTGAGAACTGACTTGCACTTCGAGTGATACCAGAGGAATATGAAAGTCCCATGGGATGATTTGATGTGTGGGGAGGCAAACTTCGTGATAGTGACAAGGGTTCACTCCCATTTACTCCCTTAGACTGAACAAAGGAATAGCAACCAAATACAAACTACCAACTCAGAGAATGATAGTATCCAACTTAAAACCAAATGAGAAAAAAAGAGTAAGAGCTATGGGAGTTGTACATTCCATTTGTAGCATGAGGAATGAATATATGAAACACAATGGATAATGAATAAGAACATAGAATAAGAATTGTGCACAACTCACCAAAGCCTTATAGCTGCGAGACAATGACTCAATGACTTCATCTACGATTCGATCTGATAAATGGGCTGCCACTGAGGAATTGACTTCACTGAAAGAAGAAAAGAGAGTGGCAATGCTTAATATGGCTCCTCTTGATAGCCTGAATCACCAAAAGGAAGTTCAGCTGATAATGCAAGTGAAGGCTACAAATAAGCAAGGACCAGTAATAGAATATGACTGGACACTTGGAAGCGGCACGCTTGCACTCCATGTATCAACATGGATGGCAATCCATGGAATTTGAGTGTTGGGGGTGCAGTTTTCTGTGCGAACATGAATTAAAATTACAGTAGCTGTAAGAAGCAAACTTGAAGTTGTCCAACTTATCACAGCTTGGTCAATTTTGTTAGTGTTTATAGAGAAAACTTTCATTTTCCATTTCAGAATATAACCAGTTTTTATGAGGTATTCTCACTATTATCAATGAAAGCTGAGAGTTTATTTTCATTATGTGTAGATGGATCTAGGCTGCCCTTGGACTTCTTTCAGGGTGAAGGAGCACATCCTTGAGACACAAACACGGGCTCATACATAACTTAATCTTCAATACTGACCTATTTTGGGGTCCTGGAAATCTGAAGAAGTAAATCCCTCTTGAGATTCCATTGGAATTATTACAATTAATAGCAGAACACCAGCATCCGCAATGCTTCGCCATGGAAGACAGCGGCAGACAAATATCATTTTCCTAAGCGACCACCAGGTTCGCTGCCTGCACAGGGTGGATGACTGCTGATACGCGATTTCCAGAGGAGTGTCCAGTCCTTCTATTACTGGTCCTTGACAAATAAGAGCATCCGCTCCATGAACCACACTGTGGAACAGGTTCCAGGTTACTACCCCTTCAGTTTAACAAAGTAGGAATGGATTAATAGCAGTTTTCTTTCTGAATGGACAAGGTAGGTGAGTTCACTACTAAAAGCATAGCCTGATTCTCACTTCACTCTGTTGATGATGTCTGTGCCAGCTTGATCAACAAGGCAAGACTTTACTACATCAGGACTCAAGATCCCCTTGTGTTGGGTGTATTTCTGAAGCTCCAAGCCCACAGTATGGGCAGAACCCATAATATGAGGGCATTCTCCTTCTGCACATTTCAACATGCTGTCCATCGTTTGCTGTGTGAGAAAAGCAGGATAAGTTATCATTAATGGCACAAAACTTGAAAATGTGACAAGTAGAAAGCAGTCAGAACCTGAAGGAATTTAGATATGGTGCCTTGAAGCTCTTCTGCCATGTGGTTCAGCTTAGCACTGACAGGATTCCCACCTTCTTCCTCCTTGAGCACCACTTCATGTAGTCTTGTCAGGAGCTACATTGGATGAATCCTTGGCAGTTAGAATATACAGTTAATTAAAAAGACTTGCAAATTACTGGAAAAATAACTCAAAGAGACCTGTTTTGAGTTTTCAGCATCTGGAATGAGCCTTTCTGCCTCCTCAATGTCACTTAGGGACACAGAGTCAGACTGCTGCCGGAGGATTCGGATCGTTTCTTGGGTTTGCACAACCAAACGATCTACCATCTGTTGGGTGGAGCTCAGGAGGAATCCCTAGGATGCAAAGTCAAGATTAGATAAGGTAAAAGGAGAACATGGACTAATTTGCAATAGATTCCTTTCCCACCTGTTGTAACCTAAAGGCTTGCCCATTTGAGTACTTCTTTGGTGAGACATTTCTTTGAAGGAGATCTTGAATTTTTTTCATCACAGCTTCACTCTTGTCAGGTGCAGTCTTCATACAGACCATGACATCATACACCGGGTATGGCATGTGCTTCACAGTGTAATTGCTGAAATGGAATCAAAATGAGGAAAAGTTCAAGATGCCAAAAATCATTTACAAGTCTATTTACATTTAAATTAAAGAAAAATTACAGAAAAATCTTCACCTTTCCATTGCATAGGCAATATCCTGAAAACCCTGAAGGCCTATGTTGTTCCGGTCAAACACGACAGTTTGCAACTTGCTATTGATCTGAAGAGCTTTGGCCAGGAGTCTAGCACCAGGATCCCCTATTGCATTGCCACTGAGGAAAGAGTGGGGGAAAGAGGTGATGAAGGCAATAAGTAAAGATGTCATAAAGCAATGTCAATCGGCTAACCTGAGGTCAATGGACTGCAGACAATGATTGCTTCCCAAGGCATTGATCAGGTTATAAATATCTGATTTGAGTCTTGAGTCAGCAACTGAAAGACTTTCTAACACACAGTCATCATCCTGGAAAAAAAGAAGAACCTTAATGTGACCTTCGCATGGCTTCTTTCATTTGATGGAAGTCTAGAACCCACCTGAACCAACTGGACAAGGGCTTCTATCACATGACCCACGTGCTTGGACTTCATTGTATTTACATTGCGTCCAATGTTGAGGGTCTTCATGGATTTGTTCTTGCTAACTGAAGAAACAACTCCAGCCATGTCTCCTTCCAACCCTTTAGGAACAAATGCATAAATGTGCAAATGAGTGAATTTCACAAAGTAACAAAATCAACAAAAAACGAAGTGTCAGTTACTCCAAGTGCTATGAGCTGAAATCACTCACTTGCACTCATGCATGAAATAGAATCAAGTTAAATTTATTTATTCTCAGAGAGAATTCTGTGGTAATAACATCAATCCAGTTAAATAAATTTTTATCATACCCATTAATAAAGTTAATTTCTTCAATTTGACTGGATTTCAGCCAATGATGTCCCATGTATTCATGCTGACAGTGGTAAGGCATTGTGAAAAGACTTAATAACAACTGATAAGGGGCATTACCATTCTCGGATACATCCAAGCTTTGCAGGCAAGCAATCTCAGGAAGGCAGGATTCCAGGAGGGATGCTCCATTGCTCCCCAAACCATTACAGCTGATGTCCAAATGTACTTCACAAGCACTTCCATTTGAGGCAAGCCCAAGCAACAGTTGTCTGTCAAAAAAATTCCAACATGCAGACAGCCTCCATTTTTTTCAGTTAGTATGAAAATGTAAAAGATGACTTACTTCAGGGAATCATTAGCCAAGCGACATGAGGTCATTATCAACTGCCTCATGGCAAGTGTTGAACTCAAGAAGAGTTTAAAGGATGGTGGGATCTCTTTTCCTTTCTTCGTGCTGAAACTATTCTTTGAAATGTTCAAGTAATTCAGCTTTGTTGTGCAACCTCTGAGTAGGGCTCCAAAAAGCTGCAAATAGGGTGAATGAGAATACAATTCTGGAGTGGTTGAAAAACGAATATGCCTAATATGGATCAGGGTTGGCTGCATTATTTAAATCAAGATTTAAACCAAGTGACTTTTTTTCATCAAATCATGGGGTTTAAACTTATTTCAACTAACCCAAATTTAGGTCCTTGGATAGAAACTTTCAAAGGAAATGGTATTTTTAAAGGTATGTAGTGCATTTGAAGCTCTCAATTCTATGTTACAATTATATCTCTTTGCTTTTTTTCAATAGTACCTTTAACTTCCTTTTCATCAATAGGTTAAGTAGTTTTTGTGGCAAAACAGTGAACAAGAATGTGTGCACTTCCAATACTTCATTACATAGTATATACAGGGTGGGGCAAAAGTCAGGGAACATAAGAGTTTTGGGGAATTTAATTTTCCTTTCTGTCTAACCTTTCACTAATGCCCACAGCTCTCAATATCTCTCGCATTGATTGTTGTGGCTGTATGGACACCAGGGCCAGAAGTGCTGTTTGGTCAGCTTCTTTTATTGCATCCATTTCTTTTTTTCACATCGAGAGCACTGCTGGTTGCTCAGAACTTTGCTATCAAATCCAAAATGCTGTGAATTGACAGTCTTGGCCTATTTGGGTGCCTTTAATAGTAATCAAACTAGTTTGTTGAAAACTGTAGTCTGTTTTTGCATAAATCATCAACTCTATTCATTTTTCAGTTTAATACATCATTTTTAAGTTATTTCACTTAGTCAAAAATCTCTTCCAAATGTCATCTGTCAAATTCTGGCAAAATTGTGCACACTCAAGCATGGAGGTCACCAACATGAACAGCAATAGATATTACATATTATCACCAAAATTGCCATACTGTTCTGGGTGAGTAACAGTCATTTATTTCCAGCCAATTTCAGTGGACACAGCAGGTGCATTCTTCACTGGACTTCAACCATTGTATGCCAAATTGATGCAAAACAGATACAAAAATGTGCTGCCATCTAGCAGTCACCTTGAAAATTAAAATTAAAAAGAAATTCTTATGCTCCCTGATTTTTGTCTCACCTTGTATATGCAGTCTGCCAGGTTCCAATGCCCACTCAAATGATGGATAGTGTACTTTAAAATTCCATTTGGTTTGGCATATGAAAGCATGAGAATTTATGGAGGAGAGCACTACTCTCTTCACCATTCAATAGTAAGTATCATTACTTAACAACAATCAAAAGCAATGTGGTTTTTTTGTATCAAATGCATTACATTAAAAACTGCCCATTTGACAATAATCAGATGGGTAGAACAGGTAGCATACCAAAGGGAGAAAATTTCATTTCTCACAAGATATGATTAGTACTACATCTTTTGGGCCACTACAGGCTGAAAAAAAAAAAAAACACCTGAAGAGACAGTAATAAACTCACAGCTTCCAAAGAACAATCTGTGCCTGACAGGTCCAAGTGAGATATGGCATTTGGTTGAGCCAAGAAGCTACACAAATTCTGCAAAGAAACAGTGAAATATGGTTATCTAGTACCATATTGGCAATGGAAAAGAGAAGTTCTCACTATCCTTCCTGAGCTTATCCTCAACTCCTTTTCATTAGTTATTTTCTGCCCTTTTTTTTTTGCTGGAAAAATGCAATGTTGTCACCCAATATACAAATCAACCTCTAATTTCATGTTTTTATTTTTATGGCAAAATCAGCTATAATTAGACAACAAATTGGTTTGAATTGGATTGATGATTACAGGATGGATCACTTGCTTCAGGACTAATACTTTATGAATGAATTCAAATGTGAAATAGCTGTAAAATGATGAAAAACTGGTTCAGTCCCTGTGCCTAATTGGACACAATATGAGAAATAGGATTAAGAGACATATTTGACACTATTGCAAGGGAAGAAACAATGGCATCTGAGAGGACTCACTGCTGCATCGTCCTTGAGGGAATTCCCACTTAGGTCAAGGAAAGTGAGGGAAGAGTTGGTAAGAGGGTTTATACTCAGAGCATGACTGAGTTGGTTGATGCCTTTTGAACTCATACCACAATGACTCAAGTTCAAGTGCTTCAAACCAGCAGGAACACTGGACACGGGGCTCAGCAGATGGCTTACTCCTGCAGACAACCATACCAGTGAAAACGCAATACTACCTTAAGGGTTATGCCTACCACCAGTACACAAAGGTTTATTAACCCTTCAAGCAGTTTTGACGTACACTGTATGTTCCTCACTAAGAAGATCAGGTAAAAACTCAGCACTTGAAGGGTTAACAAAGGTCTGAAATCCAGAGCTAGAAAAGATTACTTGAAAAAAAAAAGGAAGTAATGAAAAAACTGCTGCACATGATGGATGCATTCTGATTGATATAGTATTAGCCAACATGACTGGTACTGAAAAAATTGAGCAACAGGTTGAGGACTGCATAAAAGGCTAATTGAAATATACACATTGACAACTACAGATAGAGCAAGATTATAAGCATTGGAATATCAAAGAATAAATGCAAGTTCCATGAGTGAGATGGTTAGTAAAGGTTGTTAGTAGAGCTATTCATTAACCCCTTGACTGTCAGGCCCAAGATTTCTTGGGTTCAGCACACCATGCCTGCTTTGGTATGCCTAAGAATTCTTGGAATTCCTAGGTGAGAATTCTATTTCAAATAAAAAGAAGTATCAGTTTTCAGAGATTAAAAGTCATGCATTCATTTTTTCCATTCTATCTTGAAAAGTTCTGCTCTTTAAAAAACTCACCACTGAGGCTTTAAATTCCACATAAAAACTCTACAGTCAAGGGGCTAATGCAATTCCCATCACTACAATACATCCCATCGCTAAGCCTTTTTTCAGAGTAAATATACTCTAGAGAGTCTGCAAAAAAAAAAAGAAACTGAAAGTGACTCTTAAATAGTTATTGGCAAACCAGGAAACCTACCTCATTGAAACTGTTTGGTGTTTTTCATATTATCTTAAAGTTGCATTAAAATTTCATTACTCTAACTTTAGCAATTGGAGAGTAGTCACACTTTAGGTTTTGCACATTGGGGAGATGCTGTCACCCAAGCAGATGCTGAATTGTCAGTGCATAAAATGGAGATGCAGATAAATATTGATTAGCTACAAGAACAGTGCCTCAGGCTTGCCTGCTCTCTGTCCAGCTTCTGCTGATGGTGCCAGTTGTTCAAAGGTACCAGTTGTCTGTAATCTGTGCATTTCTTGCATAAAATGGTATTTCTGAAGATTAAACAACTAATGCATTTTAAAAAGAGCTGAGGTAGACCACACCACTAGAGTTTCCCAAGAATAATTGAAATGCATTGTATTTCACTTGATACATTCTAATTCTTTCTGGGAAAATGCTTTGCATTGCAAACTGTTCCCTAACTCTTTAGGGGTTAGGTGATAGATCCAAGTATAATGAACATATGTGACCCTAGGTAAGACTGCGTGAGTCTAGATGGCTTTCCAGTTCTCTTTCTGCAACCTTCACAGTTGATGGATTCCATTAATGACACACGAAAAATGAGGGAAAGCACATCTGGGCTGACATGATTGCAAGTCAAGTTCATGAAATGGCATATCTATCAATCATACACAAAGCCCTCTTCTCTCATGTCCTGGTCACTAGGGACCTTCATCATGATATTCCTCATCCTCCACCTATTCCCAGTGCTCCATAACACTGAAGGCATCATTTTTAGCAAATAAATATTTTTTTTCCCCAAAATGAATTTTTTCCCACAATTTTTCTTGCCTGTAACTTTGCTTTGATTTGTCAGTCATCAAATTTTCACCTTACCAAATCAGAGGTAAGAATTATAAAGCTGAATTAAGGGGAGGTAAGTCATACACTAGGAGGATGTAACACACCTTTGGCAGATTCTCACATACACCCCCCCCCCACCAGATGAAACCTTAGGTGTGTCTATGCTGACCTGTATCTTGCCAATAAGTCCCCTACTAATCATAATCAAGACAACACAATAACACTATCATAGTCAATTGTCAATTAAAGTGGGAGCAGTCATACACAGACAGTCAAAATGAAACAAAGTGCTGAAATAGAACATTGTTTCATCATTCTAAGATAGAGGACTTTCAGATACTTTCTCTTAGCGATAACTGTTGACCTTACAAATTTATATGGCAACAGGGTATCCTAACCCATGTCCCTGTCCACACGCAATGAGCAAAATGTCAGCCTTGTTGCTGTAAAGGATATATTACAAGCTATAACATGCAGTATTGTCATACCTTTTTCTGATAATTTACATAATTCCCTCATATTTTGCTAAAAAAAATGAAGTGGAAGAGAATTAAAAGTACACACCCTAAACACACTACCTAAAATATGCATACCAGACTTGCATAGTGATGGAGAAATAAATATTCTGATATGTCCCCATTTATCCATTTATGAAAATGTGCACACTGTCATTTCAGTTTACAAAAATGTGAACTTACATTAAACCAGTATAACAGAGGTTTGATGCTTGTTAACCCTTTGAGGAACATGAATGTACTGGTATGTCCATACTCTTGAAAGGTTTAAGAAAACTCGCTTCTCAAAGGGTCAAGTCATGCATCCCACTAAGCAGTTCTCAAGCAGAAAAAAAAGACAATCAATACTACTACCTCATGAGCACAGATGAGCACAACTAAAAAAACTACAGTGAAGTCACGTGCAATGTTAATAAGCAGGGCAGGCAAGAGATATGACAAGAAATCCATAAAAGAGAATTACCCAAACCTTGAGAAATTTTCGCTATCACACCAATCAAAGTATTCATTCCTGTAAAAACACAAGAAAATAAACTCAGGATAGAAGCAGATACATACACATATATACATGAACAGAATAAGCTGAAAAAAATCCAGAAAGAGGAAGGTTCAAGGTTCAGATTGGGGGTGTCATGAGGCTTTGCCATCCATTTGGACAGTCAAAGTTGAGTGCTTTTCTAGTCTTTTAGGGCCCCCCCCCCTGACTAAAAGAAGGCCTATTCCATGTATCAAAGAGCAAGTTTTTAGTGGTAGCATGTTGACCTGCCAATTTACTAACAACTATCATATTCCCTCTGTTTCATCCATGAAGGGACCAATCCCCCTAATAACTTGTCCAGTGTCCTACTGGTAGGACACAGTGCAAACCATGATGCTGTCCTTCCAGATGCAAGTTTTTTTATATTGTTTTTTTTTGCTCTGAGAACATGAAGGGTTGTACAACCACTGCTTATACCTATTACAAATGGGCATAGAATACTTTGAAAGATGTAATGCTCCCAATATTGCAAAACCAAATGCATTTTAAATTGGGGTCATGAGAATAGCATTGACAAGATTGTTGACAAGGAGTAACATCCACATGAACTATAGACAGCATAAGATTAGTGGAGATGCAGAATTTTCTGGGTATAGAATACTGCCAACAGGTCTTAGAGCTGACATACAATGCAAAAATGGACAAATATCAACAGTGTTTCAAAGTGGAACATTGGAACCTCACCAAACATGTAAGAACGGAATAAAGACTAGAAGGAACAAGGTCAACAATTCAGTTTCAGATATATGCTGAGATAGCTGTTTGACAAAAAAAAAAGCATCTATAGCAGCTAGGTACAAATACAGCAGGGGGCCTACTTATTAGTAGACCCCCTGAACCAAACTACTTCCAATCTTGCATACTTATACAAGTCCTTCATCAATCACCATCCCTCTCCCTATATGCCTAATGAAACATAGAGATCTGCCATTATCATCATCTATATAAAAAATATTAATTTACTCTTATGTAACTTTCACTATCTTTCATTTCATTTAGTTGATTTAGGATCTCAGTGCCCACCCATCCTCCCACCCACTACAAAAAAAAGTACATTTTCTGCCATATTTTGAACATTGATTTTGTTCTTGAGCCCATGCTTTAAATCAGTAATGTAAAAAAAAGTAAGACATGGTCCCAAGACATTGAGTGACTCATAGTATAATAAGATTCATTCCAGAATGGCACTCAGGACTCCAATGTCTAAAGAAACTTTTCAACTCAAGGACCCACTTTCAAGTTTTTTCTACTCCCTAACAAGGCAACAAATTCAAGAAATTCAATGCAACCAGTTACTTTATTCATTACTCTAACATGCTTCTAATTAGGCATACCTAAGGAATAAGGTGGCCTATAAGGCATGTGAAGAATGATTTGGAAATTCTGCTATACCTAACAGAAGGGGAACAGTCATTATAATATGAATACAGGTATCCTGATAAATGCAAGGGATAATGTTCTAGAAAGGACAAAAGATACTTTATAAAGAATAAATAAAATTCATTATAATCCAGGCAGAGGGCTTGTATATGTGCACTGACACCTTCAATAAAGCAGGCCAGCCTGGAAGTAACTGGCACATGACATTCAATCTACATCCAATAATTCACTTTCCATGCCCAGGCACTTGCTAAATTTTCACAAGACTGTGGAAGGTCAATCCTGTTGTCATTACAAATGGTGGAATTAGTCAAGTATAAAGTTGCAAGAATTTTGAAAGTTCATATTCCATGCAGTATGAAATGCTAAAAAAAAAAAAACAGCTGTAGGTGGTAGGGACCATACAATGAAGATCAATTCTATTTTTCTTGACAAAGGCAACGAAAGGATAGGGAATATGTCCATTATTCAAGTTCTGGGTCTGATGGCATGATGATGATATTCACTCATCAATCACGACATGAGAGCATCAGGTAGGCAACAATTAACTCACCTTTATCTTCAACCATGTTATGTGAAAGATCAAGGGTATGCAACCTTGTGGAATGATTTTCCAGAATGGCCATGGACAACTTGTGCACCATATCCCTGGAATGATCAGGAAATATATTTGCATAAAACTTCAATCATGAGAAAGAGCTCAGATGAGTCAAGGCAGAATAGATGGCACTTACACTTTCAGCCCAACATTTGCCATGTGGAGTTCTTCAAGACTCAAGGACCTCTTCAATACCTGAACCAATCGCTCCATAACTTCATGACTCAATCGAAGGCCACTACATTGAAACTTTGAGAACCAAGTATTGAGTTCCAATGCAGACACAATTGGAATGAGGTCCCTGAAAATTCAACAGGTCATGCTGATAGGTTGATATTGATAATACAAAACATTCTAGATAGTATTGACAACGTACTTGGGATCCAGATGATCGAAGTCCTTCAAACATAACTCTCGGGTATTGTGAGAAAGATAGATGGTATCCACGTCCTTGAAAGAAATTAAATTAATCCTCTCTATTAAATGTATTTGCATATGAATTATAAAAAAGAATACATAGTTTTGCAAGAGCATACCCATGCAACCTCTTCCCGGTATGGTAATCCATGATAGTCACACATACAGGCGTACTGCATCGAGTATCCACCACAAGCACTCAATTCCCTTGTGCATTTTTCTTCCAGTTGTTTGTTGTGGTCATGCATTCTTTGAATTCTTTTTTGCGGTACCACATCAATTCGGCGGATAATATGCCTGAATAAAGAAGATTAAGAAAAGAAAATTAGTTCCTCATTTCCAAAAAATAGGCCTGTCTGAATGAATGGAACAGGAAATGTACACTCATTACTCACTCTAGGGGAATGGTTGGAAAAATAGCCTTCACTGCTGTTCCGAGACATACTACCATGGTGTCAACTTCAAGACTACCTTCTTCCATTGAATGAAATGTGTGACTCTTTTCACCAACAACCAATGTGAGCTGGAAAAAAAAATCATACCTCATCTTTCAGCTATGCTACCACTTTACAAACACCAGCATAAAAATCCAGCCAAATTTATCACTGCCATAGTATGAAGTAATTACTGATCTAGGTCTTGATATCAAAGAGGAAATATTCTTTAAAATGATTACAAAATACTCCTAGCATTAATGCAAAGATGTCTTTCTACATCTGTGGGCTTAGTAACATCCTTCTTGGTCAAGATTCATAATATATTGCATATCTAAGTAATCATATTTTATGAACTTTGCAAAAACCTATAAATGACCCATATAGAAACGTCATATATGGTAGTTATTTGCAATTATCTGTGTCTTATAATTTCATATATTTATCATGTATTGAAATATGCAGGCATATATGGTTGGAACATATGATCCATGTAAGGATTATTCATATATTAAACAAACATATCAGGGCTGCATATATGTTCTATATAAAATAATTATACACATTGAGGGATGGACTCCTGCATATATGATGCACCTAGTTTAAGTATATGGTTTTTATGAAGAACTTTCATATACTGTGAATACACACTCAGCATGCATGCTTTCATAAAAAAAAAAAATTGCTGGAAATTTATATTGTACCATATGCATATGGGATATATAATTCAGATGGTATGGCCATATGGCTTGAAAAACAATTACTTTGTGGCCTTTTCATATATAATTTACAAGTACTGCATGCTTCATGCTGGAAAGGTTTTGCTGCTCTTTTAATCCTGTATAATAATCCTGTATAATTTCAATAATGGCTTGCATGCAATTCCTTATGAAGTAAGCACACATTACTTAATTACTTATACAATGTTTTGAAAGGCTGTATATGTTAATACACTGTATGCTTATGGAACTTCAGGACTTGAAAACAAGTATGACACACTCTGAGGCTTTAGGCTTCTACACAATCAAGTCATTCTCATGATTCCCATTATGAAGTACATATTAAACCAATTTTGAGTGGCAGGGATGTGAAGAAACTGCTGTGATTTTACTTTCATTTTCTTCTTCCTGATTGGAAGTATTAGTAGAAAGATCCTGCTTGATGGTAAAACTTGACAGTTCTGATTGAAAAAACTCTGTACAACTCAAAATTGAAATTGATATGGACATCTTTGTTCACTTATTCCAACACATTTCATTTTCAGCACATTAGTGAATGGTTTTTGTATTTTCACAATATTTATCGACATTTGGGAGAGAATTCCAAGAGTGTCATGATTTCATGTATGTTTCATACCTGATTTGGTCATGTATCTTATCTTCTTATCAGGTGTGACATATATGCCTCACCATATAGTAGATAAACATAATATAAAATCATACAAGTTTCTTATCTGCTCCACCATATCTACATGCATGTTTTTTTTTATAACATTCTTATATGCCCTTGCCATATATGATCATATACTCATTGTTTCAATAGCAATATATGATCAGGTATATTTTCCCATATAAGTACATATAATATCATACACAATAGACCATATATGTCCTATATATCATATTGGGGGTACAAATAAGTTTTGAGGGATTTACAAAAGATGGCGTAACTAGCATTAAATCGCATCGGACCATCTTGTAACTATATTCATGTTGAAGCGTCATCATTTCCCGCTAAAAATCAGTATGTGTCATGTCGCTGAAGTGTAAACAACATACTTTCTTTGTGCTCTAACCATGTCAATCAAAGGTTGACATGGTTAGAGCACAAAGAAAGTATGTTGTTTACACTTCAGCGACATGACACATACTGATTTTTAGCGGGAAATGATGACGCTTCAACATGAATATAGTTACAAGATGGTCCGATGCAATTTAATGCTAGTTACGCCATCTTTTGTAAATCCCTCAAAACTTATTTGTACCCCCAATATATGCCCATTTCTTATAAAATCATATATGATTTTTCCATATGGGGAGAATCAGCAAAAATGCATGCTACCTATTATGCATAAACTTATCTGCAGAAGACATTTAACAACTGAAGCAGTGATACCAGATTCAATTCTATAGACTGAAGATACTCTACTCTCACTACTTCAAGTTATGCTGATGTATATCAGCATATTTATTACTGCCTTCCTGGTCAGTGAATCTCTTCTAAGGGCACACCTGCATAATATCTTCCACCAAGATTAGGGAAGACTCTGTCCAAATACAGTACTCACCTGTGTTGGCTTCTTGCTTTCAATGGCATAGATATCCAAATAGTGGAAGTGGAAATCAATCTGGAAAAAAGTGAACAGCATCAGTTGATACCATGTCAGAAGAAACATGTTATACAAAATCAATGCAGAACATATTTATCACAATGCCATTTAATAAGCTCAAAAAGATACCACTCACTCTTGTGGGAATCTTTGCCATAAGGATGAACAGCCTGCATGCTGAGAATGCCTAGAAAAATAAGCAAATACAATTTATTGCATTCTAAGCATTATTTGATGTATTTTTTAAAACTTTGCAGAAATCTTTATTATTCATCTGAAATGTCATGTGTTGAACATGGGAACTGCATATCAGATGAATATAGCCTTTTTTTTTCTTACAGAGTAGAGCAGATGTCCCTTGAGCAACTTTTTTTCCCGACATAACTCATTTCCAATTTGTGTTTTCAACATTATTTCAAAAGTCATTGATTTTAAAAACAGTAAATGTAATAAGAGCAAAAACATTTTCAAATTTGGAAATAAACATGAAAAATTGGCAATACAGTAATTAATTCCTCAGTTGTGATAGCATGCCTACATGTTAACTCTTTAAAAGACTTGGAGTAACTTATTGCTTCATGGATTATTATCATTTTCCTTTCTGAGAAAATAAAGAAAATCCCTGAGGGAAATGGAGAACATGTTTTCTCCCCTCTAGTTCTGTCAGGCATATAATAATAAATATGTATGTCAAACTGTTGTTTGAAAAGCACTTGACTTATTCACTGTGCATTAACTTCATCACTTGAAATGCAGACTTTTGATGAAACAAAATGGCATTCAGATTGGTATCACTAGGGTTTGCAATATTTTAGTGTACAAACTGTACTAAGTCATATGCATAAAATTGTTGCCAGGGTCCCTAACTTCTTTTGCAAGGTATATTGCTGACCCAATATTTTCAAGATATTCTCAGTTGGGAACAAACATAAATTGCTAAAATATATGTTGTTCTCATTTAGAAACATAGACAATACAGTATTTTAGAACTTTCTTATTCCCCCATATGATGAGGCTTCAACTATAATGTATATAAATTAATCATGGATGTTCCCCATTGAGAACATGCTACAGGAAAGGGTTACTGCAGATGTATTCTGGTGTCAAATGCTAATGCAATGGATGGTGCAGCTCATGAAACCCAATAAGAGCTACACCTTGTGAGTTCCACTGCTCACTGAGTTGGTAACTTCTGATCTGAGAAAAGGTAGAAGCCAAGGCAGATGGTCATTTTCACTGCAGGGAAAGCACCATCCATCAGCTATGTTGAAAATCAGATTGTCTAGTTTAAAAACTCTCATGTAATCATGGTAGAGAGACCCCAGAGACATGCTGACATCAAATACTTAATCTAAGCCTAAACTTATTTTGTTGCTAGATATAATTGGCCATGAATTTCCCAGTCAGAAGTTCACAATTACTTATCAATTAAGTTTTTTAGCTTCTAAACAAAATGTTACTTCACTCACAAGAACTCTTGGATCTGTCTTATCCCCTTTGGTCTCCATCTTGACCAAGGCTTGCAATGTGACCTTGACATTCTTCCCCAAGCAATTCTTCACACTATCTGTAGAAAGGACGATCCAATACACAATCAGGATGGTATTTAAGATAAAATAGAGAAATATATGCTCAATGAGATGTGACTGGAATTTTCTGAGGTAAAAATGTGAATTATTCTTACCTTTCAGCTCTTTTGTCAATCTGTTCTTGGTTGACATCTCAACACCAGGCATAGGATGTCAAAAATGCTATACTGCAGCTATGATATATGAATTGCATTAGGAAGCAAGACACTAGGGTCTCCACTGCTTCATGGTGACAGTGACCTTCACTTCTGAGCCTTGACAATGATTGGAATGTTGTCCCCAGGCCTATGGCTGTACCTATATTATGCCTGGTAATTCATAGACTGAACATCCTAGCACATCTTCATTCCACAGCTCCAAACCCCAACATCTTCATCAAATCATGGTCTTATGACCAAGGAAGGAAAATTAGTTTAAGTCTCAACCTTATACCTATCATATCCTATTAGATAAGCCTAGCCTATAACATTTACCTACTTCCATAATTTATTAGATCCTCTGTTTGGCATTACTCTGCCTTAATCAAGGGATATTTGATGTCAGGCTCATTTTGGCATAGCCAGGATGGTTGACATGGTCAAGATCTTCATGATGCATAATGCAGTTCTGACTTAGTAAGACTCACACTCAACTGTTTTTAATTTTATACCATCCTCCAATTCAAAAACAAGGGAAAAGCTTTGAAGAAGCAACCAAAAACAACATAATATGCAATATAATACAAAATGGAGACTTCTACTTCAACTCTGCCTTTCATGCCCCATTAAAAAATTTAAACAATTGTAGGAACCTATTCTTTGATATATACCATCGTTAAAAGAATGATGTCTGTATTGAAGTTCCTGACAAGGCACTGGGAGACTAAGTTCCATCATCACCCTTAGTACTATATACTGGAAACCACTACTACTCTTCATGCTGTTTTTTCTCCAGGATTTAAGAGCATCACGATTCAAATATCTATATTTTTTTTTAGTCAGTGCACGAATAATCAAAGATGATCATAATGGCTGAAGGTATCATTTCCCTAATGGCAGAATTCCAAACATTCACAAATTTTTCAGCAACTCACAGGTCTCAAAATGTTTTGAGGAAAGGGAGCACTTCTACCTCATGCTCAATGAGCATACCCATCCATTCAGATTGGAGTTTGTGTTTATCAATGCAATATGCAGCATTCCATTGCTCTTCCATAGCATTTCCAACAGCATTTTTTAATAGCCAAGTCCAAAATTGGTTAGCTTTAGCTCTGTTTCCTTTCATGGTAACAGTAAAATTATTTCCACAACATTCAAGTTTCTAAGTCTACTATACTAAGGCTTCTAAACAAACCAACTGATAAATGAACATGTCTTACCATATAGTCTTTTCTGATTGACTTTTACCTACCTACTCTCCTCCCACTCCTGTCAAGGAACTAGATATTCACCTAGTAATAGCAACCATCATTAATTGCGAGGAGGTATATCGATGAGCAAAACTGATGGAACAACATTCCTCCCTCAACGAGGGAACTGCTACTGCACAATTCAACGGCAGAGCCCACAGAAAGGCACGAAGCGCATGTAAATGGGGTAAAAGTCAACACGGAAGCACTATAGCTTCTCTTTGTACGAGTGGATGTCACGGACGGAAAAGACCGTGGTCTTCTACTCCGCTCTATGAGCGACCGACTTGTAACTTGAGTTGGAGCGGTCGCATATCATCGAATGCCGTCAATCTGATAGCACAGCGCGAGCGTTACTTCAACAGACTGACGGCGCCAACGGGAACGACAGATGGAAGCAAAAAGCTAGGCCTATCAATTAGTCAAAAAGAGAGCTTGGCCCGGGTATAAGGAGGGCATTCCTCAAGGCTAACTGAACATCAACGACGAACATGACCCCTCTAATGCAAAAAAGGCAATGTTACTCGTCTCATACAGTAAAAAATATCATATTCGAGGCGTGAATGAGAATTTGTATTGGGTGCAAGGTTACGTGGCAAAACGGTTCATTACAACCACTGGAAGGGTTTCCCTCGTAGAGCGGCGCCATTAACACCCACGATCTAGCAGCCGATGTTTCATCACTGCCACCTATTGCCGTCTATGCGTACCAAGGAATGTTCCTTGTCCTTCACGTTTCCCCTTTCGCTCACATTCCAGTTTCGGCATTCCCGTTTCACAACATCCATTCCTCAAGGATAGAGACTGACCGATGCCAGGCATGTGGTCTGCTCGGTCACGTTATGGCAGGTCTGATCGTTCCTCGCATTCCTGCATAATGTCATTCGCAGAATAAATAAATATAAGTCGGGTCGTTTCGGGGTCTGTCACGAGAAGTTGTCGGTCCCGATACCCCTGCAAAGCGTGAGTTCTAATTAGGATGTTAAGACAATGGAGTCAAACTTTTACTTTAATGGATATCAGACTTTCATGTCATTCTCTGGGAACCACCCCCCCCCCCCCCCCCCCCCCCCCCCCCCCCCCCCNCCCCCCCCCCCCCCCCCCCCCCCCCCCCCCCTTGCACACAGAAAGTAAAAAAAAAAATAAACCCGTAACCCGTCCTCCTTTCCTGCTGCTTCCTCTCGATTAATGAGCAACGATGAAAGAAATGGCCGTAGATGCCAATAATGACAACAGGAAAAAAAAAACTCACGAATCTCAAAGGAGTGTAATAAAAGCAAGAAATTCCCTGCCCAAAATTCCTCCGTCCGGCGTCAGAATAAGGCGAGAAAAAGTTTTCCGACGTTTCGCGCAGGTCTTTCTCCAATTCTGTTTCTGTCCATTTCTTTGATTCCCCCCCTCCGCTGTTTTTTTTTTATAGTAGTCTCCTGGTACCAACCTGGACTCTTGCATTTCATCTTCGTTTTCATCTGAATGAGAAGCAGATAGACGAACCCGACGAGTCACCGTGACGCACCGACAGCGAAACCTCGACGATTTCTAGTCCGATGAGTTCTGAAGAGAAATTCGAATTTCTCTGACGTTTAAGAGACAGCAGATTGCCCAGCAGCTTTAATTTTTCTTCCGCCGTTTTGCCAGGGAAGCGAATTCGCAAAAAAATTTTTAACGATGTCGCGAATATAAAACGGTAGTTAAAGCCTGTCAGATTGAGAAAGGACGGGGCGAGGGGCAAGCGTTGTGCCAGAATTTCCTCCCGAAAGGACGAAAGAAACGCGAGGGGGGAAGAGCCGTCGTTTCTCGAGATAATCGCACAAACGTCCCAGCTGCTAATTGCCAAGGACGTTATTGTGAATCCGAGATCCCTTCAGGGGATTTTGCAAAGGGTAAAAAGGCCTCGGAAAGAGGTGCCGATCCGGTCAGTGATGCATTGCGAGTGCAAATACAAATTTCCTGTCGCTCTAGATAAATGGCTCGCGAGGTAAATCGGTTTGATCAAGGCCGGATTAAGAAGTTGCGGGGCCCGGGGCAAAACGGCGGAAGAAAAATTAAAGCTGCTGGGCAATCTGCTGTCTCTTAAACGTCAGAGAAATTCGAATTTCTCTTCAGAACTCATCGGACTAGAAATCGTCGAGGTTTCTTCGGGAGGAAATTCTGGCACAACGCTTGCCCCTCGCCCCGTCCTTTCTCAATCTGACAGGCTTTAACTACCGTTTTATATTCGCGACATCGTTAAAAATTTTTTTGCGAATTCGCTTCCCTGGCAAACGGCGGAAGAAAATTTAGGACGTTAAAAGGATCGGCAAAAGTTCTTAAACATTTTTAATTTTAAGAAGGAAGTGTTTTTATTCAAAGAAAAATAATATGTTACAGAGCGTTTCTGTGCCTCATCCGATATCAGGCAGCCAAGAAAACTTGGTGACCTTTTTTTTTTCTTGGAAACCGAAGATAAAGCGAATGAATCCTTGGCGGAGAATGAATGGAAATTCGAAATGGTGAATTACACGATGTCGAGTCACTTTTGTTGCCTGCAAACGGAACGACTACTCTGCGCGATGTTCCCATCAGATTGAACCTCGGATCATCCGTTAAAGATCATCTTCCTCTAAATCCCCTCTGCGTTCGAATTTGATCCCAGATATGAAGAAAGCACGCGATCCGATGAACATTTCATTCGTTTCGTCGAGATTCTTGCCCAGAAAACTTGCCAGCGAATCATGCGCTTGCTCGTGAACCTGCTCCTTCTTTCGACTCGATAAATTAATTCCCATGAAAAAATTGTAAACCCATGCATATATCCATATAGACGCTTGACGCGATCGCAGAATGAGCGGGAAGAGTCGCGTCGAGGCCGAATTTCTCACGTGAGAGAGAGAGGTTTCCCAAACCAGGCAGACGTAAAGAAGGGAAAAACACGATCTGCAGACAACAATCACGGTACAATATCAGCAGACGAAGGACAAACACGATGGCTAACGTGGGAGAAGCGTGAATAACCCACTCGAGATACGACGATAGAGAGCCGAAGGATCTCGTTCCTCGGAGATGCAGAGTTGCCGTTCCCATTTATCATAAAGTACTTATCGTAAAGCTGGAAACCTTGGTGACAGAGTCGAGGTCACGCTCCTCGCAGCGCGGGAGAGGTCGGGGGTTCTCGTCCCTCCAGGGCGAGGTCCTCCGGCATGTCTGAAGCGCGAAGGCGGGAAGTTCGAGGGGAAGTCTTTGTTCGAGAGGACCCAGCGGTCAGTCGGTCCCGGGAATGCTCAGCGAGAAGACGACGGGATTCCCCCCGTTGTTGTCCGTCTGGCCCGTCTGTGATGGCGTGGGCATTTCGGGTGGAATTTTTAGGGTTCGAGTACCGTTGCGATGCTGTGGCGCGAGCGGGGTCTCTCTGGGCAGTCGACCTTGAATCGTGATCGGAGAAGTACCTTGAGAGGTAATGATGCCGGAAGGAAGGACTGCGAAGTACCAAATCAGGGTCGCGTGAGATCGGGCGGCAACTTCGGGACTCGCTCTCGAGTTTTCTTGGGTTTACTCCCCAACCCGAGTACAAAAAAAAAATGCTTACATCACAATTACTGAAACATTTAGGGAACGACGGACGCGTCGAGCACTAAAGAGATTTCTCAGCCTCAATCTGAATAATTCAGTCCGGCGCATCGATCTCTCCCCGGCTCGGATCGTCAGGGACATCTAAAAGTAAAAGCCATTCACGGGGCAGGAAATAAATTCCGGATGTGAGTCAGCACAGCGCGTGTCGAGGGACAAGGTCGGCCGAGAGATCGTCGGCTTCTGCGTCACTAAAACTCCGACGGATTCACCTGGAATCTGTTCCAAGGGAAAGCGAATGTGCGATGACGTCGGTGGAGGCTCCGTTGTCCCATTTTGCAAATCCATAGAAGAGTCGTCCCTGGGACATCTCGTTCTTCTAGCCTATCACCGGAAAGGGTGCGGGAATTTTAATCCAAATGTTGAAGTCCGCCTCGCAGTCTTATACCATCTCAGACATTGGCCAATCAGATACATAATATATATCCGAAACAAATAGACCCACACCCTGAAAAACATTCAATGCGGAAGTTACAGCCTTTCGCACTACAGTAAAGCCAAGCAACCTAGACATTTACGAAAATCAATCAAAATCAAATTAGCGACGACAAGGAAGGACTGAAAGAGCAGACCCCCCACCGCCTACTCCCGCCCACAAAAAAGGCCCCTTGGGCCTCATGACCGAGTGATGTGGGTGTACAAATGACACCCGCAAAGTCCTTGTAGAAACCGTGCGATCGCGAATCGGCATTCCGTCATGCAGTAATGAAACGCCGTTCCACTCAAGATACAATGGCATCAGACCCATGTCCTGGTGACGCTGAACACGATGGGAAAAACAGTCACAAAGATGGCCACTATCACGAATGGGACGCACGAACCAGCGTGGAGCGATCCGGTTGGGTTTGTTTTTTCACAGCTGAAAATCACCGAAGGGAGGGGCGTTTCGGCACCGTATCGCAAGGAAGCGTTAACGAGCATTGCCAGGTTCGAAGAGCGATGCGACACGCGCAACGGCTCACATGTGTCACACTGTCAATGTTTGAACTCGACGATGCATTCTTTCGCGCACTCGATCGTGATACGCGGCATCCGGTGCGTTCGTCGAAACCCTCCCCCCCCCACCCACCCCCCGCCTCCGTCCCGTCCGTCGACTGTTCGCCCTTCGCGTCGCCAGTCGAACGAGTCGAATGCTGTTCGGTGGGGGGAAGGGAGGGATCGCTCCGTGACGTAATGCAGATTCGATCTTGCGAGCTGTGTTTGCACGTCTCGCGCGCTGATATGAATGACATCGCAGCTGTTTCCTGATTTGGCGTCGTGGTAGGACACTCCAGAATGTACTTCTGCTTGAGATCAGACGTGACATGTTTTGAAGGGTTGAGGGAAGCCATTTCTCCGATGGCAAGCATTCCCTTCCATGCAAATCCACGCTCGACCTTCAATGGATTTTGGAGTGTCAGCGGAAAAGGGACCGGGATGCTAAATTCTTGCACCTTTCCCCTCTTTCGGCTCCCCCGGGACAACACACTGAATGGAACAAGTTCGCGGTATAAATCAGCTCTGAACCACCGCCTGTAAATAAATTCCAAGTTTGATGGCATGATAATTTATACGGTGCACAATCTATTTCGAGCGGCAGTATATATTCACGCCAATTCACAGCCCCCACACCCAACCGTTCCGGCACAGAGCGACGACACGCACATTAGCAAAAAATAAAGAAGAAATTCCCACATAACTCAGATAACAAAAGACGCAAGAAGAATCGAAGAGGCAGGATCATTCCAGAGGGTCCAAGGGGGGGGGGGGGGGGGGGGGGGAGCCGTAGAATTCACCCCTCTTCATCCTAGCGTCCCTCTTTCGTATGAGCCCGCCCCGATGCTTTTCGCGGAGTGCGGTTGATCAGCCTATTTGTGGCGTTGGGACCGACGCAGCTCGCTCGTGTTCTATAGGAACTTTTCAATGAGAAGCGATCACTGCGAAAACTACCATTTTTTGCGACTGACAGTTTGAAAAACTGACGGATTCATGAAGGCTTTCCTATTTCTTGCCACTAGGGCTGACACATCTCAATATGCTCTGACGCAAACATTTTAGAAGTGTTCCCAGATAACATTTTCGTGGGGCTCACGTCGGCCCGATGTGGTCCGCCGATGTCAGGACACGTTGGCCCGATGTAGATTATTCACGTAGGCCCCACGTAAAAGTGACGGTTGGGCCGATGTGGGGTCAACGTAGGCAGGAAGTAGGATAGTAACATTTAACCCATATACTCCATAAGCTGGTTTTTGCTCTATATTGGCCGTAATTTCGAACCATATACTCAAATTCATTATCCAGTGGAGGCATTCCCGTCAGTAGTACGGAGTCAGTACTACTACTCGGAGACAGAGGAAAGTACAGACGTTGATCTGCCACTGACTGTACCGAATACAGTACATGCCAGAAGGACCACCTCATAGGCTTCTATGAAGTATCTGCGATATCAGATCTTTATTTCCTCATTCTGCCATCGTTTGCTGGATTTGGAATGATCCCTCATTCTAGGCCTTTTAATTTGTTTCGTGCTTCCAATAGTATGTTAGCCATTGCTATATGATTTTACCCCTTCTACGGAATGGAACGAGACATAAAATGTAATAATATTAATTTAAAGATTTTATGGCATTAAATGGGAAATCAATCTCTTGATCGATTCTATAGTATCCACCACAAAATGTCATGTAAATTTTGGAAAGTTTGTAAATTTGTCAATACCTGGACACCAAAACAAATTAGTCTCAATTTACATACACGTCCAACCGTTTCGGCATGAACGCACTTTTCTTACTGATGTAGATGAGTCTGGGAGATTCCTCAGTCCCCTACGAGAAGCCTACTTTGGTTCGTCCCCACCTTTATAGCAGCCTGCGACCATTAGATTTTGAATCTCCCTGTACGAGGCCACACAAAGGCCCCACGCTCGCTATTGTCTCCCCCACGAGGAAGATAGCGTCTGCACCTCCTCCTTAGATGGTTCACCCGTGACGCTCAGTCGGTCTCGGAGGTTCAAGGTTTGGATAGGGGTGTCAAGAGGTGAATCCACCCATTACGACGTTCTAAGTGTTCAAGGTGATATTAAGACTGATTTGGGGATGGGATGCACTTTCGCATCGCCTACACCTGCTGGGCGCGTGCATATGGAGACAGCAAGGAATGCATCATTTAACGTAGCGTGATGATAACCCTATGGGTTTCAAATCTCTCCTACATATTGCTTTGCCTATCAGGTAAATCATAGGTTCTAAGGAAAAAGCCAAAATGTCAATGTTGAGGAAAGCAAAGGTTTTCTCTTGTCCGGCCAATCCAATACTCAGCTATGAAATTTCAAATTGTACCAGATGGAGAGGCGGAGCCTGGAATCCTCGGAGCCCATGAGATTTTCCCTTCAGTTCAACTTTGAGTTTCTCTTATCCCAACATTGTCCACAAGGAGTTCAACATTTTCTTCCAGCAAAGAAAATAAAACTTTTCACCAATATATTCAATTTATTGCAAACCAAACAATCATATTCGCTGGAATAAGCTCAACCACTTTAAAGGTGCCCCATGGGGTACCAATATCATGAACACATTGGGATCTTTGAAAAAATCATATCCAGCCCTTTTTGATAAAGGTAACAAAAAGAATAAGAGGTTGGAGCATTCCATGCACAATATAATTCATGGAATGTACATGTCAAAGTCAGGAGGCCAAATGAGAAATGAGGCATGTGGGGCTGAGGAAAAGGCACAAGGCAGTCAGGCCCCATTAGAATTGACTGACTTTCCATGAATCAATTATTTTGAATAAAACTTTTTGGAAGAATCACTAGCATGCTCCAACAGAAGAGCGCAAGGTGTAAATGGAGAGCCATAAGCAGCCTCGAACTCTTTCATTTTGGCCACCAGTTTATTGGCGCCATATGTATCCACAAACCGGAATGGGCCACCAGTGAAGGGTGGGAAGCCCAGGCCAAACACAGCTCCAACATCACCTTCCAGCTATGGGATGAATAAAGCAATGTTTATTATTATGTGCTGAATTACAGTATGCCTACATAAACCAACAAAAACAGTGATAGTCTCATGACAAGATAACTCATCACTGCCTGGAAAAAGAACAGGCATGTACAAAACTTACAGGGCCATTGAGAATGCCTTCCTGTAGACAAAGTACAGCTTCATTGATGAACCTGGTGACAATCCTAAGCTGTACATCTGAATCATCAAGGGAGCCCTTGGGACTGATGGAATATTTCTTCAGAAGATCCACAGCACCTGGATTCAAGTCGCGTGAGCCTTTCTTTCCTTCGGCATAGACATAGATCCCTTTCCCTGCTTTGCGACCTGTAGATCACCAAGTGACTCTTCTATTATTAAGTTTCATTGAACAGAAAAGCCATGCTACATCAGTCACAATATGACAAAATCACCACCATACCAAGGAAGCCAGACTTGACCATATCCTCAAGAAGCCTCTTGTCTCCACCACTGAATCGTGCTCCAAATACCTTATCTAAGTCTGTGGCCACATGGCAAGCAACATCCACACCAACTTCATCAGCCAATGTGACAGCACCCACTGGCCAACCATAAGATTTGCTTAACTTGTCCAATTTCTGTGGTTCTATACCTTCCTGCAAACAAAAAAAACATGACTGAGTCATACATCTGCATGTACCACCACTTCTAAATCTCCTTTCAATGGGACATTAAATATAGAATCATGCCAGGAAAGGTATAAGGATAGCCTAACTCTTGCTTTGCTTTTCAGGTTTCTACATAGACAGAGAACCACAAGTACAGGATCACACAATTGGAACATCTTCCTCCTACACAGTATCACTCTGAAGATGGACTGGTGCTTTGGGTCTAAAAATATCCTTAGTATGCAAAACAAGATTCAAAGTACAACTAACAGACTGTCTCACCCCATGAATAATTGGGGGAAAAAACAGCAGACAGTAATGATTGCATCAGAGAGATAAAATATAAAGACAAGGAATATTTTGTGGATGAATTTTAAGTTCTGTCATCTGACCTGTAGAATTACAATATACACAAGCAGGAGCATGTATGACTTGGTGAAAAAACAAAACAACTGCAGCAAAAGAGCAAAATAAAAATTACCTTGCACTTCATGTCAGCTGTCTGATTAAGGTCAGTCAGGCAGTTTCAGATATTACTTGTTTTCCCCTAAGAAGCTGAAGAGTGCATTGTTTTTAATGACTTCCATAGAAGAGGCTTTTCAGTGAGCCTCCTTTCCTGAAAGGAGAGAGACCACTTATGGTCCTGTCCATCTGTGTGTCCATGTGTCACACATTGATTGTCCAATGATAACTAAGAAAATATTCGCTTGACCAATGTGAAATTGGCATGCTGGTAGATATTAACAAGATACAGACTGTTTTGTGGTGAATTTGCACCAACGTTGGCCTTTATATTGCAAATTTTGGATTTGAAATATGGTCATAGAGGGGAAGGCACAAGTACCTATGAGCCCTTCAGGATCTGGATCACAATGCGCATGCGGATAAGACCCAGGCCTTGGGCGCAGTGCCATGCCAGCAACCAGAGCTGTCACTTCCCTACCAACCTTCAAGGCAGATGGTTCCAAGCATGCACAATCCTCCATCCTCCCACCTTCATTTCACCACCATGGATAGACTTTCAAATGTAACTAAAAAATGATGTTTTTGATGGTAGGGGACTGGAAAGAGATGGCATTTTGTCAATTTGTTGACAAAATGCAGGTCTCCTTAAATGGAAGGTGGCCCACTATTGGACTGGGCTTGCCCAACTTGTTTAAATTATAACTAAACTTTCTTTTTCTAACTCAGCTGACTGTTTTTTGGTCATGGATATTCTGCACACATCTAAGAATGAGTTCATGCATGCTCAATAAGGAAATGCTCTATATTTCAGTGTAAAACCAATGAGATTATTTGGATGATAGCTTGAAAGGTCTCATACAATTTTTTATTTAATTTCACACCATTTTGTGCCACTACTGTGTTGTAGCAGCACCTTTTCTAGCGGCATTGAGAAAATGTTAAATGAACCAGCTCAAAACTAGTTATAACTACTCAAGACAGAAAGACTTACTTTTCTATCTGCCAGTAGGCAAGATGAACATTTTTCATGATCAATACATGCAATCAATACATACAAAGAGGAAATTCAATCTGAGCTCACAGTAATAAAAAAATAGCACTGAGGAGGCTAAGTGCAATAAGCAATGATAATATAAATAATAGCAATTTTTAATCACTCTTCTGACTTGGACAAATCTCTCTTCAGAACTAATATCTTGGTTACCTGTATTCAATGATATGAAATTCAAAAGGAGGGCACATGTGACAGTGTGGAAGGTCAAATTAAATGGATTTCTGTCCCAAGGGTTGCCAATCTATAGTTTTACATGTTTCCTTTGTCAGCAACATGCTTGAAATTCAAGATTTTGCTTCATCAGGTAGCGGTAAACTTTATAAGGACCAACCTGTAGCAGTCTGACTACTTCTGATAGCATGGGAGCAAGGATTCGTGTTGTGTAGAAACCTGGTCCATCTCGGACAATGATGACTACTTTCCCTTGCTTGAGACCCACCTATGGATGACACGGTAATGCCATAGACAAAATCCAAGAAATAAAAAAATCATAGGTTCTCCAAGGGTAAAACTCACATTGACAGCTGCTGCAGTTGTGTCCTTTGAGGTCTTATCTGTTGTAATGATCTCCAACAGCTGCATCTTGTCAACTGGTGAGAAGTAATGCATGCCGATCACCTGCAGATTAAGGAAGGCACCTACATAAGTCAAGGATAGATATTACTATCCATGTCACTTATGGTGAATTCACCTTCTCTGGTCGCTTGGAAGCCTCTGCAATTTTTGCAATTGGGAGAGCAGATGTGTTGGAGGCAAAGACTACATGTGGAGGAAGATGTGCCTCAACTTCTTTAATGATTTTGTGCTTTAAATTGATATCTTCAAACACAGCCTCAATCACCATGTCAACTTTGTTGAAATTTTTGTAATCTATGGTTGCTTCCAAGTTGGACATGTATGAATCACGTTCAAAGCTGAAGAAAGATGCACAACAAATTAATCATCAAATTTGAGCACTCTAATTTCACTATTGCACTCCACAAAAAGCAGGACTGAATACAATCAGACACATACACAGAAAACTTCTTCTTCTTAACTCCCGTGTCCAGTCCCTTCTGAATTTGGTGTTGTCCTCTGGCCAGCCCCTTCAAGTTCATGTCCTTCAGGATAACCTTATAACCTTTGTCAATGGAAACTTGAGCAATACCAGCACCCATCAATCCTGCACCAAGAACAGCAATTGTCCTGTAAATAGATTGAAAAATAGACACATGGTGTAACCTTTTCCTAAAAGGAAAAAAAGTGGCAGTGAAATGTTAAAAAAAAGAATAAAGTCCAAAATGGGTGGAATTCTCACTTAGGTTCTCTTTCGGGTTTACCAAAACGATTCTTCTTGCATTCGGTCTGGCCATGGAAGAGGGACATAAGACCTCTTGCTTCGCGTGTCATGGTCAACTTGCCAAACTCCCTCCGTTCAGCATCAAAGCCTTCAGCAATGCCTTTTTCCAGTCCAATTTTTATTACTTCCAGAGCCTATGAGGAGAGATTAATAACAGGACGTTCCTTGAGCCTTTTGACCAACTTGGAAACCTTGCTAAGCCACATTCAGAAAGTGGGCAGGTTCCAGTTTACACAACACAAAGTAGCACTTTTGTCCAATTATGGTAGACAACACCAGCTGCATGCAAGGAATCCACTTTTGCTGGGTCATCATGGGTGAAAAGTATACAGTTCTATTTTGAAAATGGCTATTCAATGACTGATACTGTCTGATTGCCTAAAAGGGGCCTTCCAGGTAGTTCATCCAATGTTTTTTGTGATGGCTCTAAAAGAAACTGAAGGCATTACAGACTGGAAAAAGGATAAGCCAACCTTTTTCTTTTCACGTGCCAGCACTACTCCAGCAACACTGGAGTCGATGTAGGAGGAAAAGAATAGAAGCAGTTTTTACTGACAGTCAAAGTATCAGGCTTACTCACACACAGAAATGGATATTGATCTGGGTTTGATCATGAAGCTTAAATAGCGTTAACCTTTGACTAAGGGTGTACACTGGTAGGGTCACATAATTGTGTTTTTTGGTTTAGTAATTCTACTTGATAGGTTTACTTATTCTTACAAATTTCAGCCATTGAGTTTGATAAATTTCCATTTGGCTGTGATATAATTTTTTTTATTTATTATAAAACCAGTGATTAGAAGCTTTACCTGTCCTGAGTGTAGCAGATTGATGTGAAAAAATATTGAACTGGATTTTAAAAAATCAGCAGCATGGACTTTGGAGTTGCATGAATAGGAATTTCAAGTAGTATCTACTAAATAAGAAATTTGAAAATTTATAGTTGAATGGAGTATTCTTATCTGCCAAGTCAGTTCTATGCTGTGTACTCTTAGCATGAGAGATGGCTGTTTGATGTAACAGCTTCTCTTAAACAATGACAGAGGGCTAATTTTCAAGCTGTGCATACAAAAATATTTAAAACAATGTTTCTTCAGAAAGGAACTAAAAAAACAAGTGAAACAGCCCTAAGTTTCAACATTCAGCTTCCCACTATTGCTGTTCAAATGCTCACATTCAAAATCAGTAAACTGCTGTTCTGGGATGGACTTTATGAATGCCAAGGCTTGTATTTTTCACATTTCCATAAACAGAACAGCTTTGATGGTACTGATTGAGTACTTCTTAGGAGCTAAGGAACTAAACCCTCCATAGAAACTGAAAACAAGTTCATCTGCCAAGTGCAAGTCATGAAGTGAACAAAATACCATCAAAAGATCTGTTGAGTGTTTGAATGTCAATGCCAAAAACCCCATTGACTGCCAAGAAAAACTGGGTAACAAGAGCATATTCAAATAACTACACCCTCACTCAGATGTCTCCTAAGATAAAAAACATACCTTAAGAGGGGCAGGATACAGTCCTCCAGTCAATTTCATGACAGTTTCCTTTGCTTTCTCAAAGATCTTGTTTCGCACAATTCCATAGGACATAATGGCCTGAGTGAAGCGTTCAACTAAGGGACGTTTCCTATTCACCTTCAATTCACCAGAGGCCAGGGACAGGGCTGTTTGGATTGCCACATCCTCCAAAAGTTCCAGAGTTCTGCACAGGGGCAGGTAAGCAACGTCCAGACAGTTAAGACCAGTCCTTCACTTAAGCTACATTATTTTTAGCAAAATAAGAGTGACAATTGACCTTACCGCTGCTCAGCAGGTTTAGTACCAGGTCCCAAGGGCATCAAAAGACTATCAACAAGGCCAATCCTCTTAGCTTTATCTGCTTTAATTGTTCTCCCAGTAAGAATCATATCAAGGGCAGTCGGAAGAGCTATAAGACGAGGCAATCTCTGAGTACCACCCGCTGCAGGAAAGAGCCCTATCATGACCTCAGGCAACCCAAAACTTGTCTTTTTATCCTTGACAGCAATCCTGTAGTGGCAGGCAATGGCACCCTAAGAGAGAGATAAGAAGTCAAAAAAGGTCTTACTGTCACCATTTGTCTAGTCATAGACAAGATTTCACCTCCAGGCCTCCTCCCAAGCAAGGTCCCATGATAGCTGCAACCACTGGCTTCTTACTGCTCTCCACCCTCCTGATGATCTCTTGGAAATCCTCTACTATTTTGCTAGCCTCCTCTGCAGTTTTGCAGTCCTCCAGCATCTTGATGTCAGCCCCTGTTCAGCAATTCAGAAGATACAACATGTATCCCAATTTTTGAGTCTATCAAATTAAAAAATGTTAAATTGAGCTTCAATACTTCCTTTCTATCAATTCCTTCAAAAGTATGTCTGACGTTTTTCATGCCCTAATTGAGGGGGGAGAGGAAGGGGAATGGAGGGGAGGGGGGGGGGGGGGGAGAGAAGGAAGTTAGGAAGAGAGAGAGAGAGAGAGAGAGAATACTATTCTTAATACCTGCAATAAAACATCCAGGCTTTCCAGATATCAACACAGCAGCTCTTATCTCTCCAGAGTTGAAGACAGTCTTTAGATGACCACTCATCTCTTGCAATATCTCTCGATTCATTGAATTCACCTACAAAACAATAGCAATTCAAATACATTAACAGATTTTTACGTCTCTGGGCTTCAGTTTCTTCATATACAGTTGACTCTGCAAGTTAACATAATGCATAAAATATTCTCCAGTTTTACACAACCAGAAAGGCAAGACATGTGAATGTTTCCTTATAAGTATCTTACATAATCCTATCTCCAATCTGTCTGCAATAAAAACTATCCACAATGAGATACCCTGCAAAGCACAAAAATTTCACATTTGTAATTAAGACTTTCCTATTTCTTCAACAAATACCTTACCAAGTGATTAGAAATGTGATTCTTCAGTAAAATGAGTGAATAAATTAAACATCTGACTGAAGAGTCTCATTCTTAAGTCTAGACTTAGGGAGATTCTAGTCCAATCCCAAAACCCTTCCTCATCCTACCTTTGATGTGGGATCATCCATCTTGATCACAGCCACACCATTTTTCACCTGGAGTGAAGAATATTGATGTGCAGAAGTATAACTGCGCTTCACGAGTCCATTCCCTGAAGATTTCAAGAGGGAAAAAACTAAATCAAACTGATTTATATCACACATGAACAAAAGCCAAGAGATACCTATTAATCCCTTCAAATAACCATTTATTTCTCAATCAGTATCTCATACCTCACAAGGCTCCAAGATTAAGCATATAGTCTTCTTCATTCAAATGACTGAGATCATTTTCATCCATTTCAACCATCTAATCTCCAGAAAACCTATCTCTGTGACTTGGACTTATCTCCAGTTTGATCTCAAGCATTAATCTTTCCAAATGGTCTGTCTGCAATAAAATATTTATAAATCTAATGAAAAAAAAACAGCCCATTCTTATGGCTCTTCTTCCTTCCTTAAAACCTATAATGAACTTTTTTTGAAAAAATGAAAACTAAATAAATGCCTCACATGAAATCCCTTTGCTTCATATATGCTGTGCTTCTTTCTTTCAAATTAAGCTATTCAATTATAGTTGACTCTGCATAACTGAATACCACCAAAAGGAATACTACTGTAAAGTCCCGATTTTTCCACCATAAGGCACATTATGAAATACATCTCATAAAGGAACACAGTTATTAGAATAACCTTCTTAATGGAATAAACTTTCCTAAAACACTGAATACTTTTTTCAGTTTACTGTAAAACAAAATACTTATTTTTCCCTTTTGCATTCTAGGAATTCTCCTCCAGCCCTTCCCCCATTTCCCACCCTCCAGCTTCCTTGAACCAAGGTCACAAGTTTCAACTTGACAACACTCGACTCTTCTGTGAAGCAAGGGGGAGGGGTAGTGGGAAGGCAAGCACACACTTTCCTAGATATTGGGGTGTAAGTATAGGCTACAGATCCAGAAAAGTGGCAAATTAGTCTGCCTTTTTTAGGCGAAAGGGAAAGAAAGTTTACCTGAACTATAAATTGAGCCTATAGGCATCGGTTCTGCACATTCCAAGTTGACCCTTTGGAAAAGGAAAGACCTCAGCTTAGCTGAGAAGATTGCAGTTCTGAATGCTCATCAGGACGAAAAGAAGACACAACCTGAACTGGCTCGGTAATTTGGGATCTCTCAGCCATGAATGTCAAAAATCATCAAACACAAGCTAAAAAAACTTTGTAATACGCAAAACACAGTCTTAAGAGTGACGAATGTGCAAATATGGGTACTGTACCACGGTATATACATTTTAAAAGTTGCCTGAAGTACAAAGAAAAGTCCAGTGTGAATGTTTGTTATTGAAATACTCCAGATTATAGAATAAAGTTTGCTGGTCCCATAAGAATTCCATTAAGCAGAGTTGACTGAACTATCTTGGAAACCCCCATGAAATTTGTTGCCTCCCACATGAAAATTCTATCTATGACAGGGTGTATTCTATATGGCCATGAATGATCATATATTTGCCACATAACATCATATATTTTTATCTGTATTACAATATCGAGAGGTATGGGCTAATGGCACCATGTCTGACATGTGGTGAATGTCCATAGACAAGTCTTATGATTGTAAGTGAACATAGCATGAGGTCAGTGACATATTTTGGTTGAAGAGCTGGGCAGGGACAGGGCAGCAGAGAGGGTGCCAAGTCCTGTCCCAGGAATGCCGGGGGGGGGGGGGGGGGGGGGCCCCCCCCCCCCTGGGGGGGGGGGGGGGGGGGGGGGGGGGCAGCCACACCCCCCTGGCCCCTCCCAGTAAAATATGCCACTGCATGAGGTTGTTACACATGAGGGCAATTGACCTTCAGATGCCTCTGCAACTAATTTTTAATGCACCCATTATATTTTACAAGAAATATTAGCTATATATAACCTTTAAAGTAATTTGCCAAAAGTTTGATTTTGAACACCCCACCAGCTTAAAATCCTAGTTATAATTTCTAGCTGGACCCCAGTTGGAAATTCAGACATATTCCAACTGGGTAGCAGCTGGAAAATAAAGTCAAACCCAGATTGTTAGTGATTGCAATACACTGGTGGAATGAGAATTTTTGTTGGCTGTTCTTACTGGAGGTCCCTCCACAGAAGCAGCTGAATTTCAACTGTATTCCAACTGGAGGGTCCTCTGGATAAAATGTAAACAGTAAATTTCCAGTTGTAAATCCATCTGTATCTACCATTTTTCAGCTCTTTGCCAGCTGAAAATGGTACAAATATACAGCTTCTGTCCAGCTGGAAAATTCCATTTGGGCTTCCAAACTAGACCCAACCCCTGCTAGGTAGCATGAGCATATTATGGGTGAAAAAAGGGTGGGGCATGGGAACTCTGGGACACTGTTATGATGCATTTCATGGGTCTTTTCCCTTGTATTCTTTTGTTTCTTTTGCTTTTGTGCTTCTTTTGTCGTAAAGTGGGGGGGCACATGCTGTGCTGTGCCTTCATTGAACAATTCCTTCATTGGATTATTTCAGAAAGAAATACAATTCAAATACAATTGTTCCCTCTATCTTGAGTTGTCAGTCAAAATGAAGAAGACACTCCTACATGGGTAAGCTAAGTTTTGTCATTCAATAGTAATACTGATTAAAATACTTGTGAAGGTTCAAGTCTATAATATTGAAACTTTCACTTTCATTAACAAAGGTGCATATGTTGAACACTATGAAACATGAGTTGAAACTTGGGGTCATTGACTGTGGTCTATGAACAATTAAAAATGAGTTGATTGCAAGTAAAGTATGATGACTTGCATATGAATGATTATGCAGTATTTGATATATTTCAAACCCTTTTAGGATACAGGTATGTTTCAGGTAATCTCAGCATACATAAATATATGGCAATTTCATATATGGTCTAATATGAGATTTTCATGTGGGTTGAATTATTTCTGACAAGAAATTGTTTTGTTTCCATGTATCTTGTGAGGTATCTGTTTAAAATGAAGAAGACATTCCTATATGAGTAAGTCAATTGAAATCATAAAATAGCATTACATCGAAGACATCCAAGGGATTGCGAAAACGGTCTCCGCGGGCCGCATGTGGCCCACGGCCCGCAGGTTGTGCATCACTGCTTTAAGAGACCCTAGAAAGCCTAGAAGCAGGTCACAAGAATCTCACCATGTGTCCATTTTAAACCGCCTGAAAAAAAAACCAACTCCTGCATCCTGCTGCTCCTCCTGAAACGCGCTTGAAACTTTATATGATCAACTTAATGCCAAACGTTACACATCAGTCTAAATCTCACTTTGGTAATACCTATGCAATGCCTGACGTGGTGAGCAAAGAGGTCTATTAACCCTAATCTTCAATATGAAAATCCTCAGTCGTACTTAAAAAACTAGTCGAATTGCAAGAAACTACTCACATGCTCTTAGATGAGTCGGTCCTCGGAGAAATACCGGCCGCAAGAGAGGAATTGAGGTCATGATAGCCGCCATCTTGCTGGGCTACTGCGATCTTCACCGCTATGCACTGGCTGCCCTTGACTCGGCAAGTTGATATTGTCACTGTGTTTTTCATTTCGCTCTTCGATTGAGTCCTCCCTCCTTCCCCCACACTCCCCTTTCTCTACGGCCTGCATAGATTACTGTTGTATCGTTCAGCTGATGAGCAGCGTCTGCAGTTTCAAATGGATACGGTAAACGAGTGAAGTAAGTCTGCTCTCAGTTAACCCTTTTTTTCCCACTTGAGCTTGACAAGTTTTATTTCATTATAGCATTTTATAAATATGGCGATTAGGAGCTCAGACTGATCAAATGAGCTTCTCATGACTCAACTGAGCATGTTGGAGTTGAATAGCTAGTAAGTAAAAAAAAAAAAAAAAGGGGGGGGGGGGAAAAAAAACATGAGAGCAGACTTACTTCACTCGTTTACCGTATCCATTTGAAACTGCAGACGCTGCTCATCAGCTGAACGATACAACAGTAATCTATGCAGGCCGTAGAGAAAGGGGAGTGGGGGGGGGGGTAAACAATTGGGAAACATTGTTTTCCTTCTTGACCTTTTCGCTGGTATTCCTAAAAAAATTATCTGGCTGACATTCTTGCCAAAGGTAAATTTGAATCTCAAAAACTCACCAGTGAAAGGGTGTCAGTGACTCTGGTTTCAGCCTCCCCAGAGGACTGCGAGCCGCCTGTGTCTGATTATTATGAGCTGTTTATCTATCTGGGCGTCATTCCATACGGCAGATATGGGCGTCTCGGTTATCAGATCGTTTCCTTGTCTCGGTCGCAAGTTTTTCTCCCAAGGACACCCCCCTGCACGAAGGAATAATGAGACTATAATGATGCCAAAAGTTTGGTACGGAGTGATACTCGTCCGTGAGAGTGTAATTCCATTGGAATTTCCTCGGATGCTTCCATGAGCATGGAGTTATGAATGATGCCCAAGTTTTTTGTTTGTTTTTTTACTTCCTGTGAAGTTGGCATGCGACGCGAAGGGTATTCGCTTCGCAAAAACTTTTTTTTTTGCTATTGAAGATTCTCGACGAATGAGGAGTGAAAGATATGAAAGAGATTAAAGTTCGTGCTTGATAAATCCAATTTTGAAGCCTAAGAGATGGCAAAGCCATCTTCACCGAGATTTGTTGACGCTGAAATCCTGTGCAATCGAAGAAAAGTTGCTCAATGGTTGCAGGACTGCCAGACCTTTTTTTTTATTATCGGTTCGGAGAATCCGCTGGTCTAAATGTAAATGACTGCAAATTTTTTACTACCTCAAAGGCGTTCGAAAGTGGGCTTTCAATCTCTAGAAGGAAAACTCCCGATTTCCTGTAAATGGGAGCCTCTTGAATGAAACAGCCGCTCTTCACCCCAGAAATCTCGATGTCTGCAGGAGACATCGAGAAAGAGAGATAGAGACTCGGAAAGACAGACCCCCCCCGCAGGACGACACGCATCAGCCGCAGCATCGAGAAATCCATCTCCGGTTCCTCGTTCGCCCGACAGCGATCGGCGGAGGCGGACCCCCGTCTCCTAAAGGCCAAGACGCACCAGGCGAGTGGGCGAGGAGAGTACTCGTCGGGGGTGCCTTGGCCTCAAGACACCCCGACGAGAAGGCATTCCTATTAGGTACACATATCCGCCAACCCAGTAGCATGCCAGAAAACCTCAATGGGGGGATTGACATATGAAAAACTGGTATTTATGACAATACGTATGTAAACATGTTTGAGTATCGAACCTGTAAAATGTACCCCAAAGAGAGAGAGAGTTATGACCCCCAAACCCCCACCCCCTCCCCCTTCCTTGGGCACGCCACTGCGCCAACCCTTCCGCCAACTTCCGTATAATGTCAAAGGAACGGAAAGAGGATAGAAGGAGGAAAGGATGGGGAAGGCGGTGATGAGTCGGAGGGTCCCAAGAGAAGTGACAAAGGATCCTCTCAGCCTTCTTCTATTTCTTTCTTTGTTCTGTGTTTTTTTTTTTTGTTTGAAACGTATCTAAGCTGGGGAAATGTGGAATATGACAATTATGCGTGCTTACAATGCTACAATAATGAGGGGGAAAGAAAGAACCTTAAAGACATCGTTTTGCCCACAATCTTATCATTCTTTCCATTTTATGGCTCTTGAAATTTTCCTCTTTATTTACACTTTTATTATTATTTTTTTACACTCTTTCCTCCTTTTCTCTCTTCTTCTTCCTCCAGGTGACATTTCGAAAGATCTATTTTGACGATTGACTTCGACGTCATCAATCTTTTCTTTGATTTCTAAAAAGTTTGCGTCAAAGAATCTCATCGATTACACGGTGCCGACCCGTGTTCCTCGCGATCACTCTTTTTTCCTCCCGAAAGAATGCATCAGCAATTCGCTGGTTTTGTTGATTTCCCGAGAGCAAGAGGAAAATGTTTCCTTTGAAACCTCGTGAGTCAAAGGAAAGACACTGGAAAGAACTCCTCGGCGGATTCAGTTCTACGAAGGAAATCTTTCCTCATGTATTCCTAATTTGGATCGCTAAGGCCCGAGAAGATCGGGATTTGCAACAGCCCGTGGCTTGAGATCGCGAAAATCGCAAAAAAGCAATCCGCTTCCTCGTCGGTGACGTCACTTCGGCCGGGTCAAACAATCCCGAGCGATCTCTATGACGAAATGCTTTGCATTCGTAAAAAAACGAAAAGGTTGCCGGTTCATTCGACCGGGTGTCTGTCCTCTTCGCTGAATCGATCCTTCGAAAAGTCGCGATCTACGATGACGAAAGCTGCAAGAGTGGAGAGTTAGGCTTGAGTTCCACGAAAAAAAAAAAATCATGAAAAAATGCAACCACGACCCGAATCAACAGATGGCCTGAATTGCCTCCGCACCTGTGAGATCTGCCAAGTGGAAGAGCTGAATCCGATCTCTCTGATTTTTCTCGACAGGGCCAGTGACCACTGACCATATCCAACACGTTCATCGAATACTTTGACAGAGCGATTGTCTTCAAATCCATCGTTCATTCTCGATCTTTCCTCTTGGGAAAAATGATAGAAGCTATGGTATATTTTCCCCTCCCTATACTTAATAAATAATATAATATAAAAAAAACATGATTTTCACAAACCAACGTAATTTCAAAGCTAATTCTACTCCTCTGAATCTTGAACTGTGCATGTATATGTGTATATACAACTGTGAACTGTGTATATCCAATCTCTCTCGTTTAATCCCCACAACAATTCAAGCATCTCCGCCAAGTCTCCCATGAATTCCTCTCTACATGGAATCGAGGTCGAGAGCACGTAATCCAATCCGTTCCTCGGAAAGGAATCCCTTCCCGTTCCTTTGCAATGCCGAGCTTCCACTTTTTTTTTTTCGGGGAGAGAAATACGAGGATCTTTTTTCTCGGAGGAAGCCATATCCGTCGCCGCCTATCTCTTTGTTAGAAGAATGTCATTATAGGATGGGGCGATAAAGGGTGCCTGTTATATATGCAATTACATTAGCCAATCCATTCTCATCAGGGACGCCAGGGTTATAATGACATTTCATGCTGCAGAATATGACACTGCCACGAATCAATCCCAAGTCCGGGAATGATCTGATGACGCGAGGAAGGCCCGCACCGCTCCATTCGACACGAATCAGCGCCCCACCTCGCTTATACCTGCTCACGGCTGAGAGAATCTGCCAACTGGAGGTTGTCAGGCGAGGGTGAGCAGGAGAGGGTGAGGAGGAAAGAGAGAGCAGAAAGGAGTGAGAGGAGAGGGAGAGCGAGAAGGAAGGTCCCGTAGTGATGCGCCCAGTTGACCAGAAAAATCCTTCCCGGACTTTGATCAGATTTAGAAGGCGAAGAACCGGCGTCACCGGCGTCCATCAATTCGATCACAGGCATGCTTTCGCCCGACAAACACGAAGCAGTTTCGATCGGGTGTCTCCCGAAACTGACGAACTCCATCGTCTAAACAGGCGGAAACGTTCCGAAGTCCACGTTGCATCGTGGTCGCTCTGGTTGGCTCGAAATTACTAAAATCGAGACGAGACTTAGCGTGACACTTCGTCCCTAATTTCATCCGTTTCCTTCCGTTGCATGGTAAGCTTACTCGAGACGAACGTGATCGGTACTCCTTTCTCGTAATTAACAGCGCAAAAGACGCCACGAACGGAGCCACGCATCCGCTCCCCCCCCCCCCCCCCGCCCCGCACATCGCAGTCGAACGGCCCGCTTCGCCCCCATGGGCCCCCCCCCCCCCCCCCCCCCCCCCCCCCCCAGCCTCGCACATCGCAGTCGAACGGCCCGCTTCGCCCACACGAGTTCCCTTCGTCGGGGGGGAATTTGTTTCGAGGTTCTCCGAATGATCAGATTTGCTGGATGGGGTCCGGCGAGGCTGGCCGCAATTGCACGGTGAAACCGGGCATGAGGGGGTGGGGGTGGCTCAGAGGTAACGGGGATGCCCGGCGACTCCGTTAATAACGTCATGGTGTTTGCAAAAAAGAAAAAACTAACCAACTGAAGTCAAAGCCAAACTAAACTAAACTAATATAACAAAAGACTTCGCAACTCCATCTCAGTAGGTCATATCAGGTTCAGATATAGGACTCTATCTTTACCGGCCAGTAAATATATATATAAACAAAATATAATAGTAATTAATAAATACCGACAAAAGCGTAATCCTTATTTCAACGCGCTTTACGATCTTCCGATATCGATCGATCGCTGATCCAACTTTCCTCTTACTTACCATTTCCTCGCATGCACGAAACAATCTTTTTTTTTTAAATCACCCAATTCATAAAAATCACAAAGCGAATGATGCAAATGTGATCGCCACGGGAAAATGCTGGCAGAAGAAGGCATGTTGCACTTGCAAACTGTGGCACTTACCTCTCTAAAAGGATTACAGTGACCCTAACAGTGACCTTTGCAGAGGAAATGCGTGAAATCATAGTTTTCGAAGTGATGGAGACGAAAATGCCTTGATGTCTGCAACCTGACGATATCGTGCAAAAAAAAGACTCAAAGATGTCTGCAAACATTGCCAATCGTTCAAAAATGAAAAAGGCACTTCCCCGAACGACCTCATCGAATATTCCAGAGCGAACCCTTCAAGGACAGAGCAGAGGCCTCATCAAAGGACGAGAAGATGAAACGACCGAGAAACGCAAATATCCGGCAGACGTCCGACCCCGCCTTTCCGCCCCCGACCGGGGCCGGGAAGCAAATGAAACGACGCGACCGCCCGCTGCCAGCTCCCGCACGAGGAGCGAGGGGGGGGGGGGGGGGGGGGGGGGAGGGGGGGGGAAATGGGGGACCTTCC